AAACGTTAGGAAGAACCACTTTCAGAACACAGCCAAGAAGCCCGAAAAACCCACAACAACCATTTTTAAAATTGATGTTTGTTTTATACTTTTAGTTGTTGTAAACCACCTTGGGTCCCCTATGGGGAGAAATGTGACAAACAGACAGAGACGGATAGGTAGGCAGGTAGATAGGTAGATAGGTAGGTAGGTAGTAATACAATCCAGAATTAAAAGGGGGGAAAGCAAAGTGTGCTGCTTATAACCACCCCACAGTGCTTAAAGCACTCCCTGAGTGGTTTATACCATATTTGTCGGCGTATAAGATGACTTTTTTGGCCAAAAAGCATGCCTCCAAATGGGGGAGGTGTCTTATATGCCGGGTCCACTTCAGTTGGGCCAGGAAGGAGCCGCTGCCGCCACCACCGTTGAGTGAGTGACGCGGGGCTGCGCCGGTCGGGGAGGAAGGCAGGCGGGTAGGCAGGCGGTCGGTCCGGACGGAGGGAGGGAAGCAGAGCTGGCCATGCCTGAGTAGCCAGAGCCCGATGCCGGAGAGCTGCTCCCCCTCCTCCTCCTCCTCCGCTGCCGCCGCCCACCCAGCCACTTCCCCTCCTCCTCGCCCTCCTCATCACTGAACTAGCTGCCCGCTCGCCCGTCCGCTGCTGGAGAGCCGCTTCCCCTCCTCCTCCTCCTCCTCCTCCTCCACTGTTGCCGCCAGCCGAACTTCCAGGGCGATCCTGGGCAGACCCTGGGCAGCCGCAGCCGCCACTGCAGCAGAGCTGTCCACTCTATATTTTGAGTGGAAATGTTGGGGGGTCATCTTATACGCCCAGTCGTCTTATACGCTGGCAAATACAGTAGTTTAATTATGCAGGCTTCACATTGCCTGCCCCACCCCACCCAAGGAAGCTCGGTACCCAATTTACCAACCTTAGAAGGACTGAAGTCTGAGCGAACCGTGAACAGTCTACCTGGGATTGAACTTGGGTTGTGCATAGAGTATTGGCTGCAGTACTGGAGCTTAACCACTGCACCACGAGACTCCTGAATGAGAGGCTAGATGATACTGAAGTTGGATCACTGAAATATTAGAAACAAATGAGCTTTCAAGCTCAGCAAGACCCAACATCAGGCTGAGCACTGCAAAACATAATAGGGCAAGGGAGAAAAGAATAGTCCTAAAAATTATCCTGACTTTGTGTTGCCAAGATCTCTGTAAGGTCCCAAAATGGAAGCTCTAAGTTTCTTATGCCAACTTCAAGTGTATGGTTTCACTTCAGGCAATGTGGGACGAATTGCCTTTCTTCTTACAGAGAAAAGGTGTCCAATCACTTAATGCATTCTCCCTGGCCTTCTGCCAAAGCATATATCTCCTGTTTGGCTGGAAGCAGAGGTATGCAGAGATGTGGCAATTCCCATATTAGAGAAGTTGGAATCATATATCTGTGACACACTAGGCAAAAAAAAAAATCTTAGCAGGAGCCAAACTGAAAGCATTAGCCAGTGAATGAGAGCAAAGGAGTCCACAGACAGAGCAGCTTCAGCAGTGGTAAGTCTCTCCACTGTGGTTGGAGATCATGCCTTGAGTGGCTATGCCAGCTTTTTTCCATAATAAAATGGAAAAGAAAGTTTTGTAGTTCTTCTATAAAATCCAAAAATAAGTCTTGTAATACCTTAACAGTCCAGTAAAGATAAGCCACAGCCTTGTTTTTGGATTTTATAGAAGGACCACACAGCCTTTCTTCTTTCATCTACCTTGTCTAAAGGTCAAAGAGCTACTGACAACCTTGATATTAAATATCAAAACAGGAATTGAAATTTTAGGTCATGTTTTGAAATATATTTGCAAATTAGTTTTCTAAGTGGTGAAATTCCAGATTACAAGAATGAGTTTATTTTCTGAAGCTTCTTTGTTTTGACTTTAAGATATTTACTTATTTATATAAACAATTCTATACATTGAATAGATGATAAATGTTTAAACAAAAGCACAAAACTAAAATCACTGCAGAGTAAAGGTAAAGGTTCCCCTTGACAGTCCAGTCGTGTCTGACTCTAGGCAGCGGTGCTCATCCCCATTTCCAAGCCATAGAGCTATTGTTTGTCCAAAGACAGTTTCCGTGGTCACGTGGCCAGTGCGACTAGACACGGAACGCCATTACCTTCCCACCGTGGTGGTACCTATTTATCTGCTGTCATTTTTACATGCTTTCGAACTGCTAGGTTGGCAGGAGCTGGGACAAGCGATGGGAGCTTACTGCGTCGCATGGATTCGATCTTACGACTGCTGGTCTTCTGACCTTGCAGCACAGAGGCTTCTGCAGTTTAACCTGCAACGCGACCACGTCCCACTCATTGCAGAGTCCCAGAATATCAATTGACATTTTCTTCCTTTTTCTATCCCAGCCCACCCTACCCCAATAAATTTGTAAACTTATGGACTCTAGAGGAACTTGGGGGGAGTAGTGCATGCATGTTGATGATATCTTCATGTGGCATGACATCTTCATGCTTAACATTTTCAACAATGCTATTTGTCATCTTCCTAGGATTTTTTCCGGCATTTACCACAATGGATACAACAGCATACAGCTATGAATGATGCTGGTAATTTTCTGATTGAAACATGTGATGAGACCATTTCCAGAGATTTGAAACAACAGCTGCTGTTGCTGAATGGAAGATGGAGAGAGTTATTTATGCAAGTTAAACAGGTTTGTCCTTGGTGTTTTGTACCCATAGTTATTAACCATTGCCACACAAAAAGGCTTTTACATATTACCTTTTTAAACCATGTATTTATTTATTTATTTGATTTATATCCCGCCCATCTGGTATATCATACCACTTATACTTACATTCTTTTCCTTTCATTGCAAAAACAACTCAGTCAAGATGAGATCTTTTGAGAGAACAGTATAAAAGGATATTGAATGAAATGTAGACTTTTGTTCCTGAAACACTCAGAGCTCCATTTTAACTTTCCATTTTCTCTATTATTCTATTTTCTCTACTTTCATAGTATGCTCGGACTGATGAGTTAGACAGAATAAGGAAGGAGTATTTGGATGGTGTTGTCTCCTTGTCTGCCTTCATTGATGAAGCAAAGAAGAAAATTCGTGTACCTTTAGAAGTGTCCTTTCTAAATGTAAAAATGTTTGTTCAAGAAATGGAGGCAAGTGTGTGCCGGTTTACTTGCTATGGATATAAGTCATGTTTCCACTCCCTACCTACCCCCTCTACAAATCATATCTTCAGTCATGCTTCACTTTCATTTGCATATAAACCATGGTTTCCAATTCAAAGTAGGCAAGGAGATTTGTCACACACGTCTTTAATCCCATGAACCCACTTTGGGATGAAGGTGAACAATGCCACACTGATGGGTTTTCTGAGCAGACTTTACAAAAAATGTTGATTTAAAAAAAAAAACAAATCCTGGATTCACATGTATTGAATGTAAGATGAGGTCATGTTAATTCATATAGTTCGGCAAAAGGATGGTAGCTCTGTTAGAGTTTGAATGTTGTTTGTACAGCAAGCAAAATTTATATTTAAAAATATAAAACAAAGGTGCATGTCTGTATGCATAATTATTGTCACAAAAATTGTTGCAGGACATTAAACAAAAAGTGCCTGTAATGGAATCTCAGTACAAGATGGTTACAAGGACAGCACAACATGTTACCAAGGAAGTTCCACAAGAGGAAGTCAATGAAATGCTTGCAACAATGTCAAGAATTAAAGGGCAACTCAGCAAGGTAATGGATATTTTTTCTCTAGGAGTACACCAAAGTCCAAAGCAGTGCTGTGTACCCTGTGTCCTCCAGGCTGCGTATAGCCCTTGGATGTCTGCTATGTGGGCCCCAGACTCCTTGCTCCAGCCAAAGCATGGTTGGTGCTGATGTTAGATCAAGGAGGAGGAAACTAAAGCTTGTGCTCTCTGCAGTGACCTTGAAGCAGCTGGCATCAGTGTTGCTACATGAAACAGCCAAGTGTGACATTAATCTTTAGCCATCCCCTTTCTCAGCAATGTTGAATCAGCCTTCCTACCTTAACTACGTTTCACAGGTTTGACCGGGTGAGGTTAAACCCTCGTCCTCCCTATCTTAGTTCATGTATAGATATGCATATTATATGTTCACATATGCTGGGGACCCTTCCAATGCCAGATGTGACAGGGGCTGAAAAAGCTGATCATTATTGTCCTAACACTAGCCAAAAGAATAGGACAAGACCATTCTGTCCACCCAAAACTAATCCCCAAAGAGTTTGCTGGGATTCACTCTGTAAAGAGCTACAACTTTAATGATTGTATCTTTCTCATATATTCGGTCCTTTGCGGGGTTAGCCCACAGATGGTCTGACGTTGCTTTTGATGTTCCTCAGGCACTGTACTAATATGGACAGGAGCACCCAGAGCAGTTGCAGACTATGAGCATTAAATATTCAATAGTTCCCAATAGCTCTGGATGCTGCAATGTATACTCATGGCAACAGATGGGGTTTAATTGGTAAATGGTATTTATTTATTTGTTTGTTTGTTTGTTTTGTTTTATTTTATTTATTTTATTGGATTTCTACAGTTAAGCTAGAAAAGGTCAGCTTGTGGTGGGGGGCCAGTAGAAGGATCCAAATCTGCCTTCATCCTGTTGTTGGGTTTCAACAATCTCTGCAGAACATTCTGCATCCAGCCATTTGTCATTATGGTTTTGCAGTTTCTAATAATCTCAAAAGCTTCTGTTAGTCTTTAACTTAATGAGCAGAATTACTTCTCAGGTTTGGAGACATTTTAAACAGGATGAAAAAGGAAGTTACAGTGAAATGTTGTTGTGTAAATTATTCTGGAAATCTCACCTTTCGTGTGTAGACATAAAGATCCCATTAGAGATTAGACTACTGTATAAACAGAAAGAATTAAATATAGGAAGAACATGAAGCATTGTGTGAAACAAAGAGTAGGAAAAAGAGGACTGCAATAAAAATGAGGAAAGATAAAGCCAAGAGAAATCGGCTGCACTGACAGGCAAAATGAGGCTTGGAGGCTAGCGTGTGGGAGAGAAAGTGAGGAGGGAGCTGAATATAAGACAGCTGAAGAACATCTCGCCCACACAAATGTTCTGGTGATATTTAGTGACTGTATATTACATTTGGAGTGCAATGAATAATCTTGTAGAGAACATGTTACTATTTTAAAGCCTTTTAGGATGGTGATATAACTTTAGATTGTTAGCACACATAGGTAAGTTCATTTACCTTTAAAACCAAATAATCTCAATACATAAAAATTAGTAAATACTGGTATATTTTGTTGTTTTTACAGTTTTGTTACAGGTTGAATTTAAAAATACTTTTTCTTTCACTTTCAGGTAAATGAATCATGCCCAGTTGTTCTTTATGAATCTCAACAGCTGCTTCCACACCTGGAAGAATTAGAGAAGCAAATAACAAATTTTTATGAATCTCTTGAAAAGATCAATGAAATTATTTCTGTATTAAACCCTGAAACCCAGCCTGCTGACATTTTTAAACAGCAACATCAGGTATATTTCATAGAAATTTCAAAAATAAACTTATTTAAACCATTATTAAGGACTGATAAATTTAATACAAGGCTGTATTCGCATACTTAAACACAGACACTAACAAATAATTCAGCATACAACCAAAATAGTAGAAGCACAGGGCTATGTTAGAAGACAGACAGGCTGTAAGCTTCCCCATGTTCAGTTATTAACGTAGCAGGGCTAGGAAAGACTGATAATTCAGGGCTGCTAATCTTTCCTGTAATCATAATAAAGACACTTTCTTAAACAATTAAAGTTTTACTTTACGTATATTGTCTTCATCAGAATCCAATTTTATATTTACTCTTGGGTAAGAGAAACCATGGAAGTTGGTCTGGCTGATGAAGAGCTGATTGCACAGTGGCTGTTCTGCCTGATTGTGTATCCAGTCGCACGCTGGGCAGACACCTAGCATGTTAGCTTCAGCAACTTCAGGAGTTCTTTTTGTTCACACATAAACATCCAATAGGATTTTGGCCACTGTTAGAACTGGCAGTGTTTTAATGTACTGTGTACATCTAACATTTTGTTTGTTGCTTTGATCATGGGTTTGTTTATCTTCTGATGACAGATAGCAGTAATAACAGGTGAGATACCTCATGCCTATCATACCATCAATCCTTAGTCAAATATATTCTCCCAACAATCCTCTTGATTTCTGTGGTGCTTACCATTAGGTAAGTCTACTTTTAGAACTGAAGCCTAAGAGTGGGATCTTCATAAAACTGCTGGAAGGCTTTGTGATTTATATAGTTGGCTGCAGAGGCAGAGTTTGGGCGTTCCACTCTCCACTGTGCCCCCTTGACGTGGGCTGGACTTGATGATGCATAGGGTCACTTCCATTTCTGCAGTTCTAAGATTTTTTTTCTTAGAAGTAAGCTCCATTGAGTCCAATAAGACTTATTTCCAAGTACTTTTGTATGAGATTATAGGCCCTGAACACAATCCTACCTCACCAAGATAGCCAAAGGTGAGCTGAGGTGACACCAGGCCAGCTGAAGCTGTCCAAATTCTTCCCTGTTTGGGGACTTAGGGATTTAATAAACTCCTAAGTTTGTTCTGGTATTATGGCTGTGGCCATGCACCAGAGGAGGTTTGGATCTGAAGTAACAAGACTCTTCCCTCATCTTGCCCTACCTCTACCCATCTTGTCTGTTCTGCTGGCAGTTTTCTGAGATCAGGTGGCAGAAGAGATTTCTGCAGACAGAAGGGCATTTCTGCTGGCAGGAGGGGCTTGCACCCAGCCATAACCTTCTATAGACAGCATATTTTTAAGTGAAGATTGCTCACCTGTGAAGAATGCACTTTCGTGTCCTGTATCTGGTGAAAGATGGTTATTTGCTAGCAAATAATATTGTGGAGAAACAAAACATTCCCAGGTCAAGATAGACTTTTAGAATGGACTCACCTAGAAACTTGAGTCAGGTACACATAGTGACTTCACATGAATCAGAGGGCAGGAAAATATTGTTTTGTCCTTTCATTTCAGTGAGATATACAAAAATATTTTTAAACATGTAGCCGGACATTGCAAAAATCAATATTCAAGCTTCAGTTCTATTTCATTAGAAATACTTAAGTGAATGTTAAAAAGCTGTACCTCAGCACGTATAGGCTTAATTTCTGATTATAGCCTTAATTTTTAAAGTTAGATTCCCTTGAGTTGTCATTAGTAACATCTATATTATAAGGGAAAATGCCTTGTTAACATTATCTAGTCAATAACATCAATACATTGTTTGTTATTCTGACTACTTTCCTTTCCATAAGTGTTCAGGAACATTTAAATGTTCCTTAAATGTTGGTTTAATGGATGTTAAAAATATCCTTAATTGTATATTGGGCTTTCTTTCCTTTCATCATCTTTTAGGATCTAGTAGCATATGAAGAAAATTGCAAGAAAGCTTTGTCATTGATTGAGAGAAATAGCCAAAACATTGCAAAGTTTGTGAATTCAAGTAAGGTGCTCCGTCAGTTCAGTGTTTCAGTGCTTCAGAAAAAAGTCACAGAAGTTCAAACTGCTTTTCAGGTAATTTTTTGGGAGGGGCACTTTGTAAATTTAAGCTGAAATGCCAGTGAAATATATGTGATGTTGCTTTTGTTTAAAGCAATGGCACTTAAGAACTTTTGGTGTTGGAGAAGTAGAAAGCAGCAACAAGAAAGGGGAAACTAATGATATGCAATGCTGTCAAGGCAAGCTGCCTGAGGAGGTATAATATGGAGTGGAAAAATGGGCAAGAAGAAAAGGTGCTTCACAATTTGCTGTCAATAACTTTTTTCGTCCCAAATTTGGCACACTTCCTTCTCACCTCCTGTTCCCATTTCCTGTTAGGTAGGGTTTACGGCACTGAATCATGTGTTGTCATTATTGGTCTCTCCCCTGCCCACCATGCCATTGGCCACTGGTTTAGCCACTCTTACTTATTCCCAGTCTTATTTACAGTAGGAGTGTTTGGGCAGCATGCACTGGAAGCAGTGGCAATATTCAGTATGGGGTGTGAGAAAAGGGGGAGTCAAAGTGCTCAAGTTGTAGTGGCCACCAAGGAAATGTTTACTGTATAACAGGATGTTTAAATGTTGGACATTTTTTTTTCTGTTTTTTTTCTGTTTTCACCTTAACATTAAGAACATGATCAAGAAGACTGGTGACTGGAAGAAAAATGTGGAAGCAAATAATCGTTTGATGAAGAAATTTGAAGCATCTAAAACAGAATTAGACAGTGTTCTGCAGATTGCCAATTCGTGTCTCAAAGAAAGAGGTGATCCTGAAGAACTCCTTCGGAAACACTCTGTGGGTATAACTCTGATTTTGGTCATGTTCCTATGGAAATGTTAGTGGTATATATTTAGTACTGTTCAGCTAAAAATAGCACAGAATCACAAGAAAATAGCCAAGACTCTAACCCATAATTTGAAGGCATTATGCATGCTGCAGAGACACCCAGCCTTTCCACCATCTGAAAATCTCACAGTAACAAGGACCAGTCCAGTAAGTGTCAGAACACACAGTCCTGCTCCTTCCGTTTATACCAAGAAGAAATCATTTCAACAAAGCACTGCAGAATGTTGAAAGATTTCACCACTACATTTTAGCGTCTGAAACCAATATTGTGACAACACTGTTCTAAATGTGTCTGTTGAGTCTTTTTCAACTGTACTGAGTATTTCCTGAGTATTTTTTTTAATTGCTAAGTCACTTCTAGACATGCTAAACTGAGTTGGACAACATCAATTATTTGCTGGTTTTTGCAGCCTCTTAGCATCTCTCACAGACTCGTTTTTAACAAGCCACACAAACAGAGAGAGAAGGAGAGAGAGAATCACTTTGGGCTGCTGACATATCATGAAGGGCAAATGAAGTTTAGAGAGACAGTACAATGTATTAGGTGCTAGATTAAGATTCAGAAGACCTCAGTTCAACTTCCCATGCAACCATAAGCCCACTGGGTGACCTTGGGTTAGTCACAGCATCTCAGTTTGCCTTACCTTCCTCAGAAAAAAGGGAATAAATAAGCCATGTCTTATCTTCTTGTTGTTGTTTGTTGTTGTTGTTGCTTTTCACGGGGCCATATGATGTGCTTGTGTTTTAGAAGCTTGATGGTAGAAGGCCTTCATCTGTGATGTGGGTTCGGTTGGTAGTTTCCAACTGCAGTGCTAGATACTTGAGAGTTAAATACTTAAAGTTAAGTATGTGGTGGTAAAAGAGAATACATATGTGTCTGTAAAAGCCATAGCTCTGAGACCAAAGGAAACCAGGCATCCGAAAATTGATGTGCGTACTCAAAGGACCCTTTGTGTGCATGTAGGCTTATTTGTTTTGGTTTTTTTAGCTTCCATTAATTATTTAACTTACATAATTTCACAAATAAATACCCTGCATTAAATATTTAAACTGATTTAAATATATATCTGTGTCTGAAGCCTACAGGGCCATTTTCAGTCTCTGTATAACAGATTTCCCTAAATATTGCATATGTTTGGGGTGCATTCCCCATAATACAGTTTGGCATTATGGGGAAATAATCTGCCGACAGTTATATGGTTGCTGTTTTCCCCTCTGGGCACATCATGGTGGTGGACTTATGCAGGAAGATGTAACTCTTCCTTAAAATATTCTAGTGTAGCAATGCCTTTTTATTGTTTTGTTTTGTTTTGTTCAGTAGCTACCCTCTGTACAGTTTTACTCTTTACACTTCAGTGTAGTGTGAAGATATTAAAATAAAAGTTTAATTTTAAAAATAGAACAGAGACAAATTGATAAGCCTGTAGGAGACACTCATTGGCCATCCATTCTGAGCAATCCCCAGTCTACTGTGGTCTATACATGTAACTGTGGGGTTGGTAAAAGGCTTTTCCTACTAGTAATGGAGCATGGTCTAGTTTAGCATGTGGAGATCACAGCACCTTTACTGCATCTGTTCCTTAAGAACACATTTGTGTCTTTTGAATTGGTGTGGCTAAAAGCAATACAGTTAGGGCTGCAGTGAAATAATTCTTTTTTTACATTCAACATAGTAATGGGAATTATGTACCTGTTGACTGTGGAGGATACTCTAGACAAGAATGACACCTTACTCTTGGTGAAGGTGGCTAACTACCAGTGACAGTAGCTACAAATGCCTATGGATAAGCAAACCACGCAAAACCTCTCTTACACAGCATACAGCTACAGTGTGTATAAATAAAACCACAGGGACCCAACTCAAATAGGGACCCTAGGCATGGAAAAGAGTTGTAATCCTCTATCCTCTTCTGTGATCTGGATCAGCCTTCCCATCTGCAATTTTCACTGGATTTTAAAGTCTCCCACCCCATTTTCTTCAGAGGGGGCTTTTCTCCTATATAAATTGCACATCATCCATTCTGGTTTTGAACCACAAGAAGGAACAAAAGATTAGCCCCTTTCCTCTCCTCATTAGAGACCAATATGGATCATATTTCATGTGCTTACTTTTGAGTAAGAAGAAAGCCCTTGAACAGTAGCATGACTGTGGTGGAGGTATGTGGTAAGTGTAGGTGTAGAGAAAGCTCAGATATCATTCAGAACAGCAGCCTGAACAGCAGCCGTGCAAACTTTGTGCTTAAAGTGCAGAGTGTGAGATTTTGAAGGTGACCTTTGTGTTTTCCATAGCAACAATATTCATGTTATGACCATTATCTTTCGGAATCAGGATTTTTTCAGTCAGTTGGATCAGAGGGTGCTAAATGCTTTCCTGAAAGCTTGTGATGAACTTACTGACATTCTTCCTGAGCAAAAACAGCACACACTTCAGGAAGCTGTTAGGAAACTGCATAAGCAATGGAAGGTTAGTATTTTGAGTCAATTGAAGGCGGATATTATTATGTAACTCCTGAATCAACACTATCTAAGTAGCTATCTTTATGTAATGTGATGGTTTTCTTCCACATGTAAATTGGAAAAAATATCCTTTTCTACTGTATAAGATATTTTAAAAGTTACCATTTTGTTACTCTTTTCCTATGTTTCATATCATCGTCTTAGAACTGCTGTGTTATATTGGTAAAAATCCATAATTTAATAAGTAAATGAACTGTTTACATTTGAAAATGTCTTCCTTATAATAAGATGGCCCAGTGGATGATATTTCTAATAAATAATTTTGTTAATTGGAGGATATTTTTACAATTTTGTAGCAAAAATATGCATATTTTTCTTAGCTATTGGATCATGTAGCTTTCATTATCTCTTTCTCTTTTCATATTATATGTAAATTGTTTTCTAAAATGGAATTGGTTTCTACATATTAATTCATTCTTCCCTTAAACTACTGTCCCACATTCATGGAATGCAGGATCTCCAGTCAGAAGCCCCATACCATTTGCTCCGTTTAAAAATAGAAGTGGAAAAGAGCAAATTCCTGGCATCAATGGAAGAATGTCATGCTGAACTAGCTCGCCAGCAAGACCTGATGTCCAAGGAGAGCAGTGAAAAAATAATTAGAGAACATAAGGTAAGCTTCCCAAATGATTTTTGGGATACTTGTCCTTGGTAGGCTACGATAATGGGGAGGATGAAGGGGTAAAGTGTCTCTGCCAGGCCACAAGTGACCCCAGGTACTTGTAGTCATTCACATAGCAACTTTCCACCATGAGGGCAATGGAGTATCCTAGAGCAGAGGTCCCAAACCCCCCGGTGCCAGTCTGTGGCCTGACCTGGACCAGGCCACAGAGACAGACCTCCCCCCATCCCCACACACACTCCCCCCACAGTCTGTTTGCACATGTGCACGCCTGTGCCCACACGAGCGCTCCCCCACCCTTTAGCGCATGCACACGAGTGCCTCCTGAGCGCCATGCCACCCACATGAGCATCCTCCTGCTCCTTCACACATGCACAGCAGCACGGGGGGTGCCCCACCTTCCCCAGTCAGTCCACAGGGCTAAAAAGGTTGGGGACCGCTGTCCTAGAGGACTTCATCTTAAAAGAGAGATAGACTCATGAAGACACATCAGACACGAGATACTTTAATTTTACACCAACCATGTCCACACTGTTAGCGATCATTTCTCTTTTATGCCCTCAGTTGTTCTTTGGTGATAAAGGGCCTTTACAGCTATGTGAGAAAAGATTACACCTGATTAAAGAATTATGCTTGAAACTACCAGAGTGGGATCCACTTAAAAAAACCTCAGAAATTAGTCAGAAAGATCTCAGTGAACTTAAATCACGGGTTGCCAGCACCTACAAGTTGTTAATGGACCACCCAGATAAATGGAAAGACTACAAGAAAAGGTACTGTTTGTGTGGCTCTAGTAGAGGTATGTAAATAATAATTACAAATAACAATTACAAATCAAGTACATCCCAAGAAATAAACAATATTAATTCTCAGATGCAGAGGTTTTTTAAAAATCTTATATACATATATAGTTGCAAGCAGCATCAAATACGCTCTGAAGAAGTGATGAATCTGGATTAGTAAAGTATGAGTAGTCAGAATGTTTTTCAAATATGTCTACTTCACATATTCAGCCATTAAAAATAAAAAAGAATAACTCCTCCATTCAATCAGAAACCCTTTTTCTATACAGCAAGATGCAGTTCTAAGATTATTATTAAATGTCAGTTTTTTTATTTCCATTAAAATATATACAAATACTTATCATTGTTTATTTATTTCTTATTTTTAATGTATCTGTGTTTCAGATTTTCTGAATTGCAAAGCTGGGTATCATCAAGGGAGACGGAACTTACAAAGATTAATCACAGTGCTTCTGATACTGCTAAATATAAACACTTCAAAGCCTCAATAGAGGTATATTTACAACAATTATATTATATAAGGAATTTTTTCTTACTTATGATGGAAAGAGGCTGTCTTGTGATGGTTGAAGAAAAGTGATGGTACAAATACAAAAAAGACCCATTGGTATCATCTATACCTTGACCATAAGCTTGTAGCAAAGGTGAATTGAGTAATACAAATAGTGTTGTATATCTGCATCATTAGAAGAAACTGCAGAACTTTGATAGGATTTATATAAGCTTCTGAAAATATTTGACAGGTGTCAAGACAGAGAAAAACCATTGCAATTACTTTGATTAATCATACAGAGAGAGGTAGTTTAATGAAAATATTGGCTTGCCCTAAGAAGAATCTGTCTGTTGTTTTGCTAAATGTAAGCCAATAGTGTCTGCAAGATTTTTCTTTTAAATGACCATGATTACTGTGTGGAAAATTGCTGCTCAGACATAATGTTCACAGTACAGTCTCTTGGCTTAATCAAGAAAATTCGTTATGCAAAGATAACTTTTCCCTGGCTATGCAGGTTCCCTAAATAGTATATAATATACAGTTCTGCATATAGTATAAAATTATTGATTTCAGAGGCAATGTTAGGAAAGAGTGGGATAAAATCGACCCTAGCTTCTATTATAAAACCACCATATCAAAGATCTAGTTATCCTGACTGATTGCCTGAGTTCTTCCTACAGTAGAAAAAAATGTGGGCATTCAGGAGTCTAATATAATAAAAAGTGAATAAGAAACAGCACATCTATGATATAAAACAAAGATGGTGCAGGAACAAATGCTGCTACTTGTTTGACAGTGCAAATGCAGTCTCCGTTAGTGATGCCCCCACGTAGTGGTGCTGGGGATTATATTTAACACATATTTCTGTGCACGAGGCCACAGATACACACTGTATCTATAGTTTGAGTCTCTGCACAAAGCATTAATCAGTTCTGAGAATTGCGAAGTCTTTTAGTACAAGGCTGCATTCTGTCTTTTACGGTTAACTGGCAGAATGCATAATATTTTACATCTTTTACACAGTTTTTTCTTCAGAGCCATTCAGGTAAACTGTTAGTATGCCCCTGTTGAAGAAATTGCACTTAAGTTTATGGTGTGCTTAACATATGACCAAATTTCCAATAACAGAAGAACTTGCATAGGAATTAGAGGATGCATGTGCATTCAAGTGACCATAAGAAGATCTGTGCCAAAATCAGATCATGGACCATGGTTCATTGGTGAACCAGATGTCTATGGGAAACCCAAAGTGGAAAGCACTCTCCTTCTTATGTTCCTAGTAGCTGGAACTGACAGGCACACTACTATGTGCATACAAGCTTCCACAGCATGTAAGGCCAGCCCACTCCCTACTTCTGCTGATAAGGAAAGAGCTGCATCTTTTGACAGGTGGGTTTTTTTGGGGGGTGGGTTTCCGGCAATGCTGCAGGCTGCAGAGAAAGAAGCTGCTAAGGAGGGGTGCTACCCTTTTAGTGCTTTTTCTTCTTTTAGATTAATAGACTTTCATTATTAGTATATGCTTAATGGCATTTTATAACTTAGTGTCTTTTTAAAGCATTTTTGTGAGCTGCTTTGGGAGAAAAGTGGGATATAAATGAAATATCTAAATTAATAATAACACTGCTGATAATGGCAGTAACAGTGGCCTTGACAGTAATTTCATCTTGTAGTAGTTGTCCGCACATCCTAATACAATTCTACATGTGTTGTATGTGTTTCTGCATGTATGTGTAGCTGTGGGCAGTTGTGATGCTTTTCAGGTCATATGTTTGTAATAAAAAAAAGTATGTGTAGGGTTACCATCTTTTGCAATATACATGCCTACTGTGGCAACCCTGTGGTGAAGCTTTTGATGAGTATCCATGTGCATTAGTACAAACCCAGTTGTCTAAGAGGCTTCTTAAAAATTATTTTGTTGTCAATATCTAATTTCTATATTGATTCTCTTTCAGGAAATCAGACAGGAAGCTTGCAAACAAGGAGAAATTCTTATCTGGTTGAAATCTAGGCTTGCTTCACTGACTGAAATTTCTTCTGAGAATGAAGCCAGAAAACAAGGAGATGAGCTTTCTGAACTTTCTAATAATTTTAAGAGACTCTTAACCTTGTTGGCAGAGGTATAGTGTAACTTCACTGTCGTTGCATAAGGAGCTGGGTTACTTTCTTTTTACTTGTTCATATAGATTAACCAAATCACTGTGAATTGCTTTCACTCTCTTCTGTTCTAGTAGCTGAGCCATAACTATAAAGAAAATAACCATGCTTTCTAAGTTTGACCAGTTTCTTATCAGTATGTTGCTATGCCTAGATATCACTGGCCAGAAGGCAAACAGCTCATAAAATCTGCTAAGCATTCTGAGTTTCCGCATGTGATTTGTAAATGCTTTACAGCTACAGGAAAACATGTCTTCACACATTTGCACATTTTAGCTGTATTTCAAGAGAAATATGTGGAATGTTTATTTCAGCCTCAGCTTCTATAATCCACAGTGTATTCATTCTGCACATTTTCATAAATATGCTTCTTCATTAGACAGTACAGTTGTGTAGAACACATTGAAGGAAGTCTTTTCTGCAGTGCAGAACTTGCTGTGATCCGTGAGATTACAGAAAATACTCTTTTTTGCTGGATGTGCAATATGTATATGTACTTTTTTGCATAAGTTATACATGTATACTAATGAGATCTGAAGGAAAACACTGAAGTGTGAAATGCTCATATCCAAAGCTCTGGGCAGCAAACCAATCACACAGTTTTCCAATATAATATATTCCATTTTCCACTTAGTTTTCTGTGCCCTACTCAAAACACTCATTATTCTGTAGCCACTGTGCAAACTCTGACTTTGTTGGACTCCTTTGTTTTTTACTTCCCTTATTTTTTCCATAATCTTTTTTGCACACCTCTACGGGGTGGAGTGTCCCTTGATCTTACTGACCTATGTGTAAATGCTGCTGATATTGCTACTTAAAAATCCCTATTTGAAGAATGTTTTCTGTTAACATGTGCTAATATGGATTAATAATCCCCAAACAGCTCCTTGTGGATTTAAATCCATGAAGTTCCCACTGAAATATTAATTCATTTAAAATATTTAGACCCATTTATTCTCCTAAAAAGGATTGAAGGTGGCTTACACTATTGAAAAAACAAACCGTATCAGAAACTAAGAACTATAAATTATTTGTATTAAAATGTATTTGTTACTTGGCATTGTAAGGCTCCTGAGAGTTACATTGTTTGTCTTCAATACAGATTGAGAAGACACTGAGTGCCCTTGGTGACTGTGTCCAGTATACAGAAGAAGTGAAAGGTCATTTGGAAGAACTAATCACAAACACAAAAGAGGCTCAAGTAGAGGCTGAGAAAATCTTAGATGTTGAAAACTTATTACAGGCCCAGCAACTTCTTCACTATCACCAGGTAGGAAAGCTGCCCAGAAATGAAAAACCTCCAAGTTGAGTTGAGTCTGCTGTCAGAAGCTTTATACTAGCTTTGCTAAAGGGAAGGCACAAGTCCCTGTAGTGAGATATACAAGAGTATGGCCTTCATTCTGAATGTACAGGGCACAGCTCGAAAGAGCCCTTTTGCCAAGCTACAGTAGCAAGCTATGTTTTTTTAAAATTTTTTTTAAAGTAGCATAGAATAATAGAATAATTGTATTGGAAGGGGCCTATAAGGCTATCATGTCCAACCATCTGTTCAGTGCAGGAATCCAAATCAAAGCAGGTCTGACAGATGGCCGGCCAATTTTCTCTTGAACGCCTCCAGCACTGGAACACCCACTAGCTCCTGAGGTGATCGGTTCCATTGTCATATTCGTTCCTTCCCTGAAGTAGTTTACTTTGTTTTGTTTTGTTGTTGTATTTTCCTGATTCCTTTGATGTATCAACCAAAGTCAGTCAATGAAGTTGACAGTAAGAATTATGCATTTGCGTTTGTTTAAATGTAGATCCTAGATCATGATAGCAGGCCAGAGTCCAAACATGTATTCAGGAAGGGCCCAGGGGCCTCCTTTCAGATGAGACATACCTAGTAAATAAAGTGAGGCAGCAAAACAAAGTGGTCAGGCGAAGAGTAATTCTTACCAATCTGAATATTTTTCCATCTGAGTAAGCCTCAGTGCAACATTCCCTGGGCTGCAAAAAAAGCCCAGATCAATACAACAGAAAGAGCCACTGTGACATAGGGATCACAGTGTTGGATCAGCCATTCTTTTCAGTCTAACCTTCCACAGACAATAGTTGAGGCTAAAGCAGGGAAGAGGAGAAAGTAAAAGGAAATCATAGCAAAGTACTCAGATCTCCTTTTACTTTCTCCTCTTCTACCATGTAGACCCACTGTTGTCTGTGGAAGGTTAGGCTGAGAAAGAGTGGCTGGTCCAACACTGAGAAAGAGTGGCTGGTCCAACACTGATCCCTGTATCACAGTGCCTCTTTCTGTTGTAGTGATCTGGACTTTTTTTTTGCAGGATAGAAATGTAAGTGGAGAGATTCCCCGGCAGCAAAGCAGAGCTCCATTACAGACAACATCTTCCTAGTCTGCAAAGCAAATCTCAGCTCCATGCAGCAGCTTCTTGGTCTGCAAAGCACCATTCAGTTCCATGCAACAGAATCCTGGCCTTTTAAAACTGTGGAGGGGGTTTGCTTATTAACTCTTTTTTGATACATGGGGGGGAAGTCCTCTAATTTAGATGTCCCCAACCCCTGGCCCGCGGGCTTCTCAGGGTTGGGCTGTGGAGACAGATCTCCACCCCACGCACGCACAATGGGTGTGTCGTGCTTGTGGGTGGGGCGTGTCAGGCTTGGGGGGCGTGTCGCACTTGGGGGTGTTGTGCTTGTGGGGGGAACATGTTGCACTTGTGAGAGGGTGTTGTGCTCATGGGGGGGTGGGACACAGCCCCCTGTGAGCGCTACACATCCTCCCATGCATGCGACATGTCCCCACAGACATGGAGCCCCCCCCAACCGATCCACGGTTCCAAAAAGGGTTGGGGACCACTACTCTAATTAATACTAGGTGTCTGCCATGAGGGAAGATGTGAGCTGCTATAGTTCAATAGACAGTTATGTCACCTACTGTAGTCCTTTTAAACACTTCCTCCTAGAAAACAGCAAAGCAGCTCCATGCGAAGAGGCAAGATGTACAGCAGCAAATTGCTCGAGGGAAGCAGCTACAGACTGAAAGTGGTCTGTCTCCTGCTGTTCAAGAGGATTTGTGGGAGCTGGGGAATGCATTAGAAAATGTGCAACAAGCTATGGATCAACGGGGAGATCAACTGCAGGTCAGTGTTCCTGTCTTACTTTTAAAACTGATACCGTACTCTGTATTTCATTGCTGTGTTTTATTTTAAATGTAGGAAATATTTTTTGGAACTTCACTGTTTCTTGTCCTACAGAGATCCAAACGATCCCTATTGACAAGACAGAGATTTTTATGTATCTTTTTCATACATGCTGTTGTCACCCCATACTGTAGAGATACACTTATATATTTATACGAATGACATAAGTAGAGCCTGTTTTATTGTTGATTCTCAGTTTACTCTTTGACATCAACTTCTGCGAAATGGAGTGGTGGGCACCAACTTGGGAGGGAGGGGAATTTATGGAGGATAAGGCTGTCAAGGGTTTCTAGCCATGTATTATTCCCATATTGCAGACAGTATGTTTAGTTGCTAGGGAATATGAATGGGAGGATTCTGTACCATCCATGTCCGGCTTTGGGGCTGCAGATTATTTTAAGTTCTTTGAGTCCTCCACTTTGCTGCTGAAAGAGATGGGTACCTTTTATTCAGAAATAAAAGGCTTGTGGCATCCTCATAAGCATTCCAGAAGCTCTATTGGCCTTTTAAACAAGGCAAGCTAACCTTGTGCATGTGGGGTTTTTTTCTCTGTTGAGAATGGTACTTCAAGGCCTTGGAATGCACAGAGCCTGTGAAAGAAGGCGTGGACATAGCACATAGGATTTGCTTGAATATAAAAAGAAAAGAAAGATGAGGTTGGTGTGGGAGGAAGGAAAGGATGAAGCAAAGCTGCATACAGAGTGCTGGTTGCAGGAGCTGTCCTCCACCACACCTTAAGGCAGCAGACTAGCTGAGGGGCCCACCAGGCAAAGCATGTAGCACATGGAGGTCTGAAATCTAGCATCTTGCTACGAGTGCCCCTGGTTTCCAGTATGTGCCTCTTGAGGAAGCTACATCAGGTTGCCTAGTAGTAGGGCTAGACCTGCTTTGAGGATTTTTGTGCTGCTCTACCATCTTATTACTGCCAAGGATTTGATCCAGAAAAATTGCTGAGGGCAGTTTTAAACACTGATTGTACATATACAGAAATTCATTTTACATTCTGATCAAGAGGAGAATTTATATGTGGGAAATTACTCTTGGTTCATAATTTATCTGAGCATTTACCTGCAGGATAAATCCATGCCTCAAAAAAGTAATTAATAATGTCAGTGATATCACAAAGAATTTCCAGCCAAAGTGTTCTTTTTCTTTCTCACAGATCACAGTAAACACATGGGAACAGTGTGAAAGAGACAAAGAAATGATTGTGAAATATCTTAGTCATGCAAGCTCTGCCCTTGAACGTATTTTAAGCTTCAGCAGCTTAGAGAGCTTGTCATCAGAACTAGAAAAGACAAAAGTATGTATGGTTTAATGCTTATACCATTCTGTATCTTGGTTGAATTACAATTGTATCTTTGGCTGTTCGGTTCGGTTCTTGTATGTTTCCTTTGAAAAATATTGAGTTTGTTTTGTTTCATTACTCTTTTTCTTGGGCAGCATGGTTGAGATATGGTATTATAATGTAGATCCTGACCAGACTGTACACCACATTCAGGTATAGAGAATTCTTACAAGATCACCAGAGTCGTCACTTTCGTGTTGCAATACATAGGTAATGCAGCAGGCCCTTACTGAGAAGGGGCAATCTATGCGTAGTATTCACATTAGTAGAACCTCAGAAATATAGAGCTACAAGGAACTCTGGGGATCCATTCTATCCCCCTGCCAAAGCAGGATATCCACAGCTAAGGTATCCCTTCTCTCTTCTTGGTTCAGGTCAGTCATGCAGCTGTGGGAGAGTGGATTAATAGTATGAAACAGGACTCTGTAAGCCTCTGGCTGATTTCAATTAAATGTCTGTTGTATTCACTGTAGGACTGGATCATGACATAAGCATTTCATTGAAACTAGGGAGCCTAACACTGACTGGTTTTTTTTAAAACCTCAAATCTATTGACTTTTTTTCCTTTAAAAACACACAAATGTACTATATCTGTGAAGTTTCTGAGTCATCCAGGTAAGGTTATCTGTAAGTTGAGTCATAGCAACTGGACTTCTTATTAGAAGTCCTTCTCCACCCATTGTCATAAGTTGTTAACAGTCATTAACAGTGGTCTTTCTGGTGTGGATGGTCCCAATTTTTCTGGGGTCAGATGAAATGTATTGTGTTCATGTTGCAATCCATGGAAGCTCACAGTGAAATATATTTCTCAGTTTTTAACGAGTTACAGTGGACCCTTGACTTACAGACCAATTTTTCTGGGGTCAGATGAAATGTATCGTGTTCATGTTGCAATCCATGGAAGCTCACAGTGAAATATATTTCTCAGTTTTAAAGTTGTTATGATATTTTTGTATTCGTTTTTGCTTCTAGTGAAAGACTAGCATAGAATTTAGGTTTGACTTGCAGACTGAGATTTGACTTACAGACCAGAAAAAAACCAAAATGGAACAAAAACGGCCTGTTACGGGATTAATCGGTTTTCAATGCACTGTAGGTCAATGGAGACTTGACTTACAGACTTTTTGACTTGAGAACCGCCTTCCAATACGGATTAAGTTCTCAAGTCAAGACCTCACTGTATGATATTTTTGTATTCATTTTTGCTTCTAGTGAAAGACTAGCATAGAATCTTTTCTGAACACTGCTAATAATGTTTTTGCCATCAGGCTCTTGAATTATCTGGAGGATGGTTCCCTGCATAAATGCTCTCATAATTCAAATAATAATTTTACTGAGAGAGATTCTGAAATGTTTGTAGTGATTAAGTACTGCTGACCAGTTGTTAACAAAAATTGCTGGAAATGATGCTCAAATATATTCTGTTCATACTGCATGTCCCTTTACAGGAACTTTCTAAGCAGACAGTAGCCATGGCCATAGAAGCTGAGAATCTTGTCAAGAAGTCTTTTGCAATACAGCTTGGTGAGAAGAGCAAACAAATCCTTCAAGAGAAAGCAAAATCAATCCAGGAAGAAGTTGAAAAAATTGAAGCTACTATTGAAGAAGAGTATGTTTTTAAAAAGTCCTAGTCATTCCTCACTGACATGAGAAATGTAGTTTTTGTTGTCTTATCAAAATGCAGTGTTAGTCACAAAGAATTTGTAAGCACCAGTTTGCTATGGCACTCATGCACTAGAAACTACTACCTTAAGAATGAGATTCTTTAAAAAAATGTCTAACAAATAAAGAAAATAGTGACAAACTACCCAATCCTAAATATTGAATGCTTGGAAAAAGAACCTCTTTCGTTTAAGTGTACTTTCATGTAAGTGTCCTTATAATTGCCATGTTAAACTGCAATTATTAATCCAATTGTGTGTGTTAAAGACAATTTCAATGCAACAATGCACTGTTAGTTGTGTACAGAATTGAAGTAATAGCAATGTAGTGCACAAATAGTAAATTACTTGACTCAGGCTAGGATAAAATAATAGTGCCATATCGTAAAGTGCCTGGAGCCTTTCGAGAACATAGCATACTTTTGCTATGTTTTTTTCCCTTTTTTTTTTCATCTGTGGACACAGGAGCATCAAAATGTGCCTTTCCCTCACTGACATTGTAATTCAGTTTTCTCTTCCTGCTGCTGCTGATACTAAAAATGAAGCATGACATGGTTGTCCATTATTTATTGCAACATGGGAAGAGGCTTATAAATGGTGGGAGAGAATCTTGCACACATACATTCAGTTTTGATTCGGAAAATGTCATGTATTCCAAAACGATAGACCAGAATCTTTTAAGTTATAGCTACTGGTGTAACTAACTCTATTGTTGCAAATTTCAATATCACTCTCATCAGCGAACTCTACACTGGCTAAGAAGTCTGCACTGCTGTTTTGTGGCATACAACAGATACATGACTTGGTGCATGAACAAAAAAACTATTGACCTCTTTGCTGGCAGCAATTAGCCACTAAAATTTGTGCCAGTGGAGTAATAGACATGTTAATGGGATTCTGGCCTTCATTTCAAGGAGCTTTAAAATCTCATTAGAAAGTCTTCTTCCTGACTGATGTTCATTGACATGAATCCTGACCAGTGGTCCACTTTTGGAAATCTTACTGCGACTTTGCATTTGATCTCTTCCATAAGGGGTTGGCTTAAAATCACCCTTACAACTTTATAGTCTGGTTGATCTTTACACCTGTATGAGATTGTTCAGTAACAGTCTAATAGTAACAGTTTTACAATGAAGCTGCTGAGTGTTATTAACTTGCTCAAGGTAACCATTAATTCTATCAGAGATTTAAGCCACATTATCTTTGGGCAGAGAGCAATACTCTCTACTCTAGGCTGTATAGCATTCCAGAATTCATCCAACCAAGGAACTAGTTCACTTTACATCCTTCAGGTTATCATCATAGATTTTCAACAACTTCAGAGAGAAATCAGTATTTTAATATCAGGGATGTTGGCAAGTCTTTTGGGTCCAAGTCCCAAGTCCAAGTTGTTGGTACGGAGCCCCAAGCTCCAAGTCAGAGTCCCTATTAAAAGCAAGCTTATTCCCCCCAGGAAAAAAGGAGGGGCAGGTGGGTTGTGAGTTGGGTCCAAGTCATTGAAAAAAGAATCCCAAGTCAAGTCCGAGACGAGTCACTGGTGCAACTTAAGTCCGACTTGACAGTGAGTCCCATGACTTGAGTACTCGACCTTGTTTAATATGACCATTTCCCCCACTTTCCAAAGTGGTGAGCCTGACGAAAGCACTTTCTCCTCTGTTTGTTTTAGTTGGCTTTGCTGTTTCCTCTTTATCTCCATGCCAAGAAGGGAAAATATTACTATGTTTTTATAACTTGTGCTTTCTCTTGTGTATATTGTTTGGCAGCATCTTTCTTTCTTTATTACAAGTAGATACATTCCCTTGAGAAGGTTTTGAGTGTCTTTGAATAGTTTTCAGTTATGTCACTATTTGTGGCTCCCAAAATTATCAAATGGATGAACTTGACATATTCCTTTTCAGTGCGTGTTTTATGCACATTCATAGTAGAATGTAATGTCATTTCTCAATGAACTGGATGCAGACAATCACTATTAAGCTGGAAAATATGCATGCATATTCAGCTAACTCAATATCTCAGATATATGTTTGCACAGATACATGGTTCATATGTGCAGTAATGCAATTTCTAGTGCACATGCATTCTTTGTGGTTTGATTAAAGAGATTTTCCCTGATCATGTTATAGAAAATGTCCAGGTTGCCTTAGTGAGGCTAAATGAATAGAATCCCTTGTGAAAACCATGCATCATTAGTGGTATCTAAAACAGATACATTCCTGTGAGAGTGAAGGGGCAACACGTTTGAAATTTGGTACAGAAAGGAGATTGACAATCAAAACATGCCATTTCAATCAATGTTAGACTTCCACTTTTCATGCAACACACGTAAGGACAATGAACTGGAGTTCATAATGTGTGCCGCATATGTAGTGGGTAGGGGTGTTGAAACTAGGACTATGAAGAATTACAAGTTCTATGAAAGAACAGCTGTATTAAATCTAATTGAGATCTAGTAAGAGCTATCTTGAGCATTGTCGGCTGACCAGAAGGTCCTGCACCTTATCTCTTTCCCATCCAGGATTTCACCAGCTGTTCCCCAAATGTGCTCATGATTTTGTTCAAAGCCTTTAAAATCCAGAAACTTGCATTTTCTTCAGAGTTTGAAGGAAATGAAATATGATATTCTAAAGATGCCAAAAAGACTTCAGCCATCATAACAGTGTAGGTAGATTTTGTCACCAATTTTGAGGGATAGAATACATCTCTGGTGCCTGTAATAAGTTTAAATGGATTTCACTGTAAACTACAGTGACAGACTCACTTTAGGAACAAACATGACAAAATAATCACTATGCAGATGTTACATATATTAAATCCTTTGGTTGCATCTTTCTTTTTTTTCTGGTTTCATGGTCTCTGAAACATACAGAAATAGACTCAGAACATTCCCTATTAATTTTAATAGCTCTTAACTGCATCCTCAGGTGCACAAAACTTAAAACAGTTAATCAAACACCCTTTAATTAAATTAAAATGGGAAAGAGTTTATTGTGTTTACTTAGCAGTGTGGTAAGTGTAGCCTTTTTCAGCAATATTTGGTTTTTTCATACAATATCCGAGAAGCTGATGTGCTACTTCCCACATCACTGTTGCATTTTTTCAGAACAGGCAAGTAATTACAGAACTCCTACACAGCTGAGGTAATATAAGGTCAGACGTTTGAGGTGCCATAGCTCTTATAAAACTTATAAAGCAGGCTTTTGACAGACTTTTTAAAAAAATATATGGCAGATTACTATGTAACCATTACAGTATCTTTAAATTAGAGATGTTCAAACATGGACATAGCTATACGGTAATAAACTATTTTCTTCTTCTGCTAAATATGGTTGATTTTAGTATTAAAACCATGGAAATGGTGAAAAGCAAGTGGAATCAGTTTGGCAAAAGTTTTGAAGCTTTGTCCATCTGGATCACTGAAAAAGAAAAGGAACTGGATACTTTGGAAACATCATCTTCTTCCTTGGATGAGGAAATCAACCAAATTAAGGTGATTGGTTCACATTATATTTGGCGTTAAGATAATGTTTCCTCTTTTCTCCATCAGAAAATACAGAGGAAAGAAATGGGCATTTAACATGTTTCTCAAGCACAAAGATACAAACAAAATAAATGTCATACTTTGAGACAAAACATTTAAAGGTGGAAGATTTTGCAGGCGATCAAAATGCAACATATATGAAGATTTCTTTCTACTGTTAAGTTTAATTTACACACAGGCTCTTTGGTGTACTTGTCATCCAAGCATCTCACAGTTTCAGTGAAAGAATATCTTTTCAGCAAATATTCTTTACACGCAAATATCATCATGGTATATTTTCACATCATGTAGAGTGTTTTGTATTGTAATATATTTCAGTTAAGTGGCTCCACTATTTTATTTCAGTATGCTAGATAATTTATATATGATTTTTGTGTATCTTATTTATCAAATAATGCTGAAATAATAAAGGAACTGCTGTGTTCAATATCACTAGCTAAATCTTTATTACATTCTCTGGATTCTTCTTACCTTGTGCTATATTTTTGGTTCATTAATAAAATCTCAGATACACATAATACTTCCAGGAGTGCAAGCAAGAAATGTTGTCAGTTTGAATGTATGATTTGTAATTCATATCTCATTTTGTTCCAAATGCACACACATAATTTTACTAAAACTGAAAGCTCTTGCACATAAGTGGAACTTCCCCCAACAAACAGATGGCTGGCACTGTTAATTCTGAAAACAGCCATCTTTTTTTGTAAAGAGGGTTTCTTGTTTGGTTAATTTTTATTTTTAAAATAAAACCCTCCTTTTGTAAAGAGGGTTTCTTGTTTGGTTAATTTTTATTTTTAAAAAACCCAATGTCATAAAGGATCATCAAGAATTGACCAGTATTAGAAGGGGCTGTGAAGGACAGCAATGTAGGATGTCCACCTCTGCATCCTTGGGAGCGAAATATGGAAGTGTCCCCATCATTGCCTGCAGCATTTTGTAACATCAGTTCCATGTTTCCCTGTCTTGCTGGATTGAACACATCTGTTGTGGAAATGAAAAAGTCTCCTCTTTGTATTCACCACATTTGCTTACTGTTTCAAACCTGCAATACTGTTTTCAGTTAGAGCTCAAATGCTTTTAAATGTCACAAAAAATTACAAAATACATGGGTTTTTGCAAGTTTGTTCTCTCTATTTGGTTAAGCCAGAAGGTAATACAGGAGTTTTTTCATAGCCAGAGGTGGAGATGATGTATACTTTTGATGCAGTTTCTGAAAGCATAACACAGAAACACAGAAACAGAAAAGAAACAACATTCTGAATGTGCGAAGTTACCAGTTATAAAAGTCCTTCTATCTTAATTGTGGGAGAGTGAAATACCCATTGATAATTAGCTTTTTGTAGAAGCAATTTATTGTGATTACTGAAAAGTACATGCCCCTCCAGCTGCATATTATGTGTATTTATTTGTTAAAAGAGATCAAATAGGTTTCATATAAAATAATTCTTAGAAATTAAGACATTAAGAGCATTCAATTATACAACTTGAAAAGCAATCTTGTGCCAAGTTTTTCCATGAAGTGCATTTTTATGTGGTACATTTTTGTGCATTGGTATGTGTGCTTGGTTTTGTGCCTGTACAATTTTCAATTTCAACTGAATTGCAGAATGGTGTAGTAATATAATATATTTACAGAAATATTTTCAGTCTCACAAACACTAGCAAATATAAAACTGCATAAAACAAAGTTTGTGTTTTTCCCAGGATCACATTCTTGAAATGTGGAAGCGTATAAACATGTGGCCATTCACTTGATTTATTTGTTTTAACTGTGAAGTAGATAGAGCAGGCCTTGTTTATTTTTCCTTTTACATGTGACACACTGGTATTGAAAATGTGTTTGAGAAAGCAGATACAAAATGCATCCTTGCATAGAAAGGTGGTTCTGATAACCCAGAATGTGATTTTGAATAAATGCAAAATGGCATAGATACCAGACAGAAGGTCCATAAGGTGACTATATCTAGCCACTTGTAGCTGTATCTACATTAGTCAGTAATGGATTATTTAGAAACCCAGTTCTCAAGGAAAACAGAAATTGTTTTCACATGTTTCATGGAGAAAAGTTGTTAATGTGTTTGTCAATTTACAGTATGTGAATGTTTTGTGCCTATCTTTCTATGTATCTAGCTTTCTGTTTCATATACTAGTCTGCCTGTGTTCCACATAGATGCTCCATGACTGTAAGCCCCTTCAATTCAGTTCAGTTTGGTTCACTTACTTATAAAAATTAATCACTTAAGGAATTGGTTGTGAAGTGGTGGTGGGGATTCTTGCTCTGAACAGTTATTTGCATCATAGTACTTCTGGGAAAATAGAAGTTGGCTATCACTGGGTTGAGCGAAGGAACATATTTCTACACCACCGTTCCAAGGTAACAGCCTCTTCACTCGCCATGCCCTTCTTTTTTGTCAACCTCAGTATGTCTTCTAACACTGCAAGCAATACGGGGAACCACTTCTTAATAAATCATGTAATTAATCCTGCAGATTAATTATAAATACTTTTCACTTACTACCTTTGCTTTTCATTTACTTTGGCATTTTGCCATCTTGTTTCTTTATTACACTTTACCTCTGGGAATTGTAATTTTGGGACCACACTGAAAATTCTGCTAGACATCTCTGGTCATCTTCCTTATATGGGACCAATGGCATCCATGATTTAGATATGCCCTTGTTACCTCCAGTGTAATATTTCTCCCATGGAGGAAGGTTCATAGGCCAGTGGTATGGCAAATCCTTTGCATGCAGGGGTATCTGTTGGAAAAACTCCTAACTGGAAGCCTTGCAAGCCTTTGCCACTCACTATTAATCAAGACTGGACAACTTCCAGAGGTCCAGCAACTAATATGCACAAATCTGCAGAAATAACCTTCTGAAAAAATCAGACTCCATGTTATATCCCTGACCCCCTATACTGTACAGTACCAATTTTTCCCTTTTCATTTAAAAAGGCCTTGTATGCGTACAGAGGCATACAGAGGGCAATCTTTCCATGTCTTCAGCCCTTCTATGGCCATATTTTGGGCTTAGGCCTAAAGATAAGCCAACAGGCCAAAGGGGACTCTGGCCAGGGGACTGGCTGGAGGGGACTTTTTAAGTGAGACAAAAATGGAAAACGTTAGAGTGCTTGGCAGGGCAATACTAGAGATTGCAGAAGCAATAATGAAATGGATGGACCAATGATGTAGCTTTAGTATGCAGCAGGTTGGTAGGTCCCTAATGCTTAAACCATGGCCATAACCTAGGACTTAATTTTTCTATATTAATGAATGCAAAGATATGTCTGTAATGGAACAGCTGGTGCCTGTGGGGGTGCATTCCTATGAACTGAGTCTTTTACCACCAGGTAGGGAAAAGCCTTGGCCTTTTCCCTACTCCTCTGAACTGTTTTTCTACAATGTCTCCAATTGTCTACAATTGGAGCCATTGTCTACAATTTCTCTACAATGATTTTACTCTTTTAGATTATACATACCTACACCTAAGCTTGAACAAAATGAAAAGGTATCTTCTGTTCCTGTACAATTACTGTTTTTGCTGCTGCGAACTCCATAGGCTATTTGAATTGTTTTCTGGAACCATGAATAGTGTCAATCACATCTTAATCAGAGTACATTGCACTGCTGAAATACTAAAAATAATCACTAGAATAAACACAACAATGGGTGATTTCACTTTACACTGGATGATCACATAAACTAGCCATTAGTGATTAGCATAGTAACAGTTGATAGAGAGCTCTCAAAAAAAATTCTGATTACAGTATGTCATCTACATGCCTTTGTAATTGTTCTATGTTAAAAGAGTAGTCTGAATGTAAATTTAGATATTCTCCAACCACTGCACAGAAAAATTAAGTATTTCAGCTGTGGAAGTAACAATGATTGCTCAATACAGTTATTATACCCAACTAGAATAAACCTGCTGAATGAAAGAAATCTGTTGAATCAACATCAATGAAATGTCCATTGATTCAGTAGGTCTACTAACAACTACATTCCATCCAATCTGTTTATTTTATTTTATTTTATTTATTTGATTTATATCCCGCCTATCTGGATGATTAGACCACTCTAGGCGGCTTACAATATACTCTTATCCATGAGAGTATGGGGATAATATTAATTAATTCTGTTTTCAAATATATTTTGCAAACAGAAATCAACAATGCATAATTTGTCATGTTGTTATCTGATTAGAAATTTATCACTACTAACTTAAAAAGTAACGTAGCAGTTTTTTGCATGTCCCAATCTGTTTATCCATGAATGGGGATAATATTAATTAATTCTGTTTTCAAATATATTTTGCAAACAGAAATCAACAATGCATAATTTGTCATGTTGTTATCTGATTAGAAATTTATCACTACTAACTTAAAAAGTAACGTAGCAGTTTTTTGCATGTACTGTAAGCCAGGATATGGGGTATATAATACTGTGTAGGTAGAAATAACATAAAAACCTATTACTGTTTTAATTGTTGGCAAACCTTCACTAAGATTAATTACGTATTACTAAGTACATTATTATTAAAAAAATTTAGCTTTAAGGATTGAATGTTAAAAATATTAATTAAAATGTAGTGTGTATGGCACTCATTAAAATCTGCAGTGGCACTTAGACAGATACATAGAACCATTGTATCTATGAACAATTAACACTGTTTACCATGGTTGTTTGAAGATAAAGTGTAATGGGTGCAAATGGCCCCCAAAAGCAAATCTATGCACTTTATAGGGAAATACTTGGTTCAGTTAATTCATGATACAGATTCTTCATAGACAAATTTATTTATATTTTAGGTTATTTTTAAAGAAATAGATGGCAAAGAATATGAGATCCCACACCTAGAAGAAGATGCTCAGTCATTTTCTCAGTATCTTACTTCTGGAGAATCAGCACATATTAAAGCCAAGTTGACACAGATCAGAAGATATTGGGAAGAACTTCAAGATCGTGCTCAGCATCTGGAAAGAACAATCACAGGAAAAGCATCAATCCAGCAAAAATTTGAGGAAAACTTCACAAAGGTAGACAAACTCTTTCTAGGTTATCCAAACATGACAGTAAAAGATACAGACACAGTAAAGTCAGAAAAGGTGCACTTAAATAGCTACATATTGTTCCATTAAACAGCTTGAATGAAAGTTGTTACATAGTTTTTTGGTTGGTTGTTCATTTTTTTAAAAGCACTAGAAATTCCAATCTTCCTTTGGTAAAAGTATGCTAAATATAATTTTTAAATATTGAATCTCACAATAGAACAAGAAATATCCTTGACATCATAGTGAAGCATTCACTTCACCATGATGTCAAGGATGTCATAGTTTTTGTATACCTACAATTTAATTTTATGTACAGTTCCTAATCTGTTATTGGTATGAGTTATGGTTTGTAAAAACATGAAGTCAGCTTATTTAAAGAGAACCCAAATTTAGATTAACCACAATTTCCTGGTTCAAGCAAAATAACAGACCATGGTTAATTCCCTATGTGGGAGAAGGAAAAGTGGTGGAAGTGAAGTAGAGATTAATTGCAACACATTCTTGTCACAATTAACCATAGTTTAGTGTGGTGTCTAAACCTAGCCACTATTTCTATGAAACATCTAGTGCAGTACATAGTAATATGAAATCTATCCTATACATCTTTTACCTGTGGCTAAGTTACATGAAATTTAGCAAGCTGTCCTAGCAAATAGGTATGTGTACTAGTATAAGATTATGGCAGTACTGTATTACTTTCAGTAAGGGACATTGTGATCTTCTTGGTTTTAACAGAGTATTTATTCTGTATTTGACTACAATTATTTTTATGTTATATTTTAAAGAAAAGTCACTTGGTATTGTCATAATTAAATATTTAAGTAATAAATAATAGTATACTAACATTATTTAAGAGCAGATGTATATCAGGAAGCTTCAAAAACACTTGGTTCCTCGAATGTTATGAAATTTTATGAGATTCTTTACTTCTTTAGATGTATCAAGAAAATATAGAACAAATAATTAGGTTGATAGTAAAACTGCATAAATGCTAGCATTTTTTTTCTTTATTTCTTTGGGTTAGCTCCAAGATGACCTGGGCAAATATGAAGTCAGACTGACTGCGATTGATACTTCATGCTCTTCATCAGCAGAGACTTACAAGGTTCTTCAAGATCTTATGGTAAACATGTTTTACAATGTTTTCCATTTGTGCCAACATCCTTTTGAATTCATGCAGTATAAGTAGGCAACTGAACAAGCAGGTCTTCCTGGACTGCTGTCTCTCTGCCACACTGCTCTGTTTTTTTGGCTCAAGGAAAAAGTTGCATGCCTGCTCACATGCTCATATATGTGATGGACAGGGAAAACTAGCTGTGCTATTGCTCTTACATGTGCAATTTTTTCCATTAGTATTTTGGCATTGGTTTCATATGCAACAGATGAAAGGCATTTAAGTTTTTCTCATTTGAGTTGTAGCAAAAATTCCATATCTGAAGATGACTCTTGAAAACTACTGCAGTGAGCAGGCTGTCTGCTGTAATATAAGACAGAATCTTTTCCTTTAATGAGTAGATAATAGGACTAATGAGACAAAAATAAATAGCAAGGAGTTAAAACTAAAGAAGGAAGGAGGGAGGAATTCTCTAATTTGTCACTGAACAATCATACTGTTATGAGCAAAGTTTGGTGATGTTACATTTTGCACTACACCTGTCAGAATCTTTCAGTCAGCAAAAACCCTGGTGATAATATGTCAGTGTTATAAAATGCTCTGATTTGAGGAAAGATAAATCATAGTAGCAGTTGGCTTAGACTTGGTTTGTAAGCCTGTCTTTTATGTCTATAACAGTGTGAGAGCCATTGTTGTGAATGTTGTGAATACTGTATATAAAATTCTATACAGTATTCTACAGGCACAGCACGGCTGGGACATGCTCTAGCCAAACGTATCTCCATATAAAATTGATTTCACTTGATCATGTATTTAATAAAGTAACAGTGCATTGCAATTCATTTGGGCCTCATTAGTGACAGGAAGGACTTCTTTGCTTCTAAACCCATTGTTAGTCTAGATGGACAAATAATGGGACCTGCTGTAAGTAATGTTGTTAGCTGAAGTCTTGTTGCTTAGCATATTGAGTTACAACTTCAATAAGCCCACCAGTGTGTCATATGAGCCTACTCTAGTTGCAACTTTGCAATGAGCAACAGGATTCCAGCATCTGTGTTCCTATTTCAACATGTGAAAACTAAATGCAGCCAAGGGCTAAAATGTGGTATCTGTAATCCATAGGACTCTGAGAGAGACATAAGTCTGGAATGATGGTGGTAACTGTCTTCTGTTTTGCTGCTTCAAATAAATAGGATCTCTGTCAGGTTCTGGAAAAGACGAGCCAAATGTTGATCTCTCTGTCGTCTGGTTCTCGTAAGATCGTGAACAAAGAAAAAGCAGCTCAGGATGTTTTAATGCTTCAAAAGAAATATGAAAATATTATGAGACAAGCTAAAGACAAACAAGCCTCACTAGAAACTCATTTAGCACAGTGGCAAAGGTGAGAAAGTCTTTTATTCAGCTAGAAAAAATATTCACAGATATCTCCCAACTTTTGTTTTAGTATGATGTGAACTAATGGTCTTTTTTCTCTCTTTTCTCTTTTTTTTTCTTCTCTCTCTCTCTCTCTCTCTTCCCCCCCCCATACATAACTAGACTGGAAAAGGAGCTTTCAGCCTTCTTAACCTGGTTAGAGAGGTCTGAAGCATCAGCAAAACCTTCAGAGCGGCACGTTTCTGCTGACAGAGTTAAACTAGAAACAGAACTACAACAACTACAAGTAAGTTTTGGGAGCTAATAAATCAAATTTATCCTTTTCTTTTTTTGATCGGTTCGCTGATATAGGCACACACAAAAAGAAATATATATAATTGAGTTTACAATCAGGATCAATTTTACAACCCAAACAATTGAATATTGGGAGTACATTCCATAAACCGAGGAGCAGGTGCATTACGAGGAAACCTCTTTTTCTGGTGGTCCACAGGGACCATATGCTAGGACTCAGTCTCTATATTATTATTATTTTTAATAATGTCTCCCAGTATTTCCAAGGAACATTAACATACTTTACTTTTCTCTAAACATGTTTGGTTCTAAGCTGTAGTTACAGTATTAACATGTTGTAGATTTTTACATTAACAAACGTTTTTATCTCTCTCTCTTTCAGAATTTGAAAGCTGACATCACATCACATGCTTCACTATATGCCAGTCTGTTAGAGCTAAATGAATCATTAGTTAAAACAAGTCCAAATGAAAGTGTGAAAGCTTTTAAAAAAGACTTGGAAGAACTAGACAGAAGATGGAAAATCCTACCCCAGATTGTTAGCAAAAGGTATTTGTTTCTGTTTCAGTAATAGCACTTAACTGGAACAGATATGTGACTCAAATGCAGAATTCCAGAAAGGAAGAGCAAATCTATATGTAGCAGGAGGTCGGCCATATTGCAGTGGAATATATGCTGGAGTAGAGACTATAGGAATGAACACAATCTGGGGCATATATAAAGTTACTGGCATAGATAGACATGTGAAAAATCTCCCCGTTTTGATTTTGCATTTTTCCCAGTTCCACTTGGATTTTCTTCTCTCATTGTTTTGTATCAATTTACAAGGTTTTTTTCTGTGTGTGTTGTATGAGCACCCTTGAAAAATATATTTCTAAGCTTATTTTAGAAGTTACTAATATAGGTGTAAAACACTTTGAAAACTCCCACAGTGCTCTCCTGGAGATAATTTCTCAAAAATAAGTCACAGTGAGTGCAGTGGGATTTGAATGTGTTTACATGATCGTAGTTTTAAGTGTTATATAAATGCTAAGTATTAGGCATGCTAATGTGAGTGGAGATTTTCTTACGTTCAAAAAATTGAATTGCCAGTTGCCTGTTTAATTTAATATGCAAAATTAAGATATGTAGAGTTCTAGGTTCCACATTTTCACTGGCAACTGTGAGCAGTATCCAGTGCAGTAATGAGCTTCCTCTGGCAGAAATAGGAGGGGGCTATGCTCCCTCTGTTCCTCCTCTGGCATTCTTAAGCACCTTGAAACCTGTCCCAGAGTGCTGCTGATGGGGGAGGGGGGTTGCGGTGGGATGTAAGAGAAAGAAATCCCTGGTGTAAGGATCACATTGGCTTTAGCCTCTTGTTACTGTTCTCAATGTTGTTTTTATGCCTTAGTTCTGTATACAGCCTTAGAGGCAAATACAACATTATGATTTGATTTAACTGATTCAGTTTTTTTGTCTCTTATGAATTTAAGGTAAAACCCATTGAAAAATAATGTTACAGTAGTCCCACTGAATGATTCGGTGTACAAGTTACTCTTCTAACTTCAATGTCTTCTAGGATAAATTATCTCCAATCTGTAGTTGCTGAACATAAACTGTATGATGAGCTACTCCTCAATTTTTCTGATTGGATTAAGCAGTTTCTTGGTAAACTACATGCCACATCTGAGATGAATACATGTGACCAGCTGCCTGCTTTGTGTCACAAGGTGCGAATATATTGTTACAAGTCTATTGTTAGAAGCACATTGGTGGGCATACAGGGAGGTGAAAGAAGAGGTCATCCCTAAGCAGTGATGGCAGAAGCATGTATAAAATGTATATGCAAAAACCTACACGAGTGCCAAGAGTTGGAGAAATCATTCAGTGGTAGTGTTGTCAGAGAGCAGAAAGTAATTTTCTCCTTCTTCCTTCCCATTCACTCTGTTACCTCAGTGAGAGTAGTGAGGCAAACTGAGGTTGGTGGCCTTTGAGATGAGTAGGCTTCCCAAGAACTACTGGATTGTATTCTGTAACAAAGACACAAAGTGTGTGCATGCATGGGCAGGCATATGTGCGCTTTAAGGGCTTGTAGAAGTGGAAGTCAAGAATGTGCTAGAACTGGTAATGGCAAATGATTCTGATAACCTGTTTCCTGAATATGTTAAGCTGGGTTTCTGGCAAAAGGTCTCACAGTTATGCCTCTTTACATGTTAAAAATGCACTTAGTCCTTTATCTGTCTTCTAGGACCATAAAACAGAAGTTGAAGAAAAATACGAAGAACTAAAGAGTTTAAAAAGTCATGCTGAAAAGCTGTGTTCGTTCAGTCGGCCAGAAGATCACAGTGTATTCCAGAATAAAGCGGAAGACTGTGTTCAGCTCTACCACGAAGCAAGGCAAGTAATTAGCCGTCGGCAAGAAGTGCTGCCCCATCTCAAGGCCTTCCTAGAGCTTCATTCATCTGCATCAAATAAGCTTCACCATCTGAGACAGATGGTAGAAACCACTGGAAATATAGATAAGACTAAATCTGAAGTGCTGGAAAAGCTGCTGAGTGAGGTTATACAAGATGTCAACAAACTGGAATCTACAGCAGCCAGCTTAGATACATCCCTTACTAAAGCCCAATATCATCTAAAACATGGAAGCTCTGAGCAAAGGACTTCCTGCAGGAATATAGCTGACAGTATCTGTATAGAGCTGGAATCCATCCAGTCTTTGCTGGGAACAAAGCAGAGTGAAGCAGAGGCTCTTGGAGTTCTCTATGCCTCCATCATGGAGCGGAAAGAGCGCCTTTTAAAAAGCATTGAAGATCTTGAAGAAAGGGCTGACAAGGAAGGGCTGAAGGAGCCAAGCCTTCAGGAAATTCAGCAAAGGTAAAGCATGTGTCTTACGTGGCCAAAACCAGCAACAGTACAGATGGCTTTCCCATTGGTTCTTTTGTAAACAACATCACCTGCACCCCTTGCAGTTTTAAGGGTTTTAATTTCTCTGTTACTCATATATACTTGGCTAATGCCACCTCCTAGATTATCTAGCATTGTTTTGATTATCCTTCCTCAGTGTCCCTAAGCAATCTGACTAATTATAGGAGCTGAATATTTTCTTAATTATGAAAATCTTTTGCACCCAATCAAAAATAATTCCAAGAAATACCACACTAAAGTTTCAGGATGTGAAATGAAAAAACAGGCTATTGTGTTGCTTTCTGCTGCTACCATTGCTTTTTCCCAGTTTCTTCCCAATGACAGATAGCCTAAAATTTCATTCATTATTAATCTCTGATTTCTACTGGAGATTTTAGTTATGGCATCACATCCCCCATACATTCACATAATCTCTGATCACACATTCGTCATTCCTATCATTTGAAGCAGTTGATGAAGGTTGTAAACATGTTACTCTAATGACTGTGACTGCAAATGGAAATCAAAAATCACCTGAGAACGAATGAGAAGAATGGAACTGAAGGTCTTACACAATGTCAGGTCAAAATGGGCAGTTTTCAAATAATATTTTGATGTCCCCAAAATGTTTTCAAGTTGTGATGTATATTTAGTCATGTGAAAAAGAAAATTCACCCTCTTTGAATTCTATGGTTTTACGTATCGGGACATAATAGAAATTATCTTATCCTTAGCAGGTCTGAAAATTAAATACAATCTCATATTAACAACAACACATGACATATTACACCATGTCATGATTTATTTTACCCACCCCCCAAAAAAAGCCAAAATGGAGAAGCCATGTGTGAAAATCTACGTACACCCTTACTGATTCCATAGGAATTAAGAGGCTAAATAGCAATCAGGTACTACTAACCAAATGCCCTTGAGCAATTGATTATCAGCAAGCATGACCACCTTTATAAAAGCCAAAGTCTTAGCTGGTCTGGAGCATTCAGGTGTGTGTTAAAACAATGCCAAGGAGGAAACACATCAGCAATGATTGTAGAAAAGTCATTCTTGCTGCACATCAATCTGGGAAGGGTTATAAGGCCATTTCCAAACAACAGGCCAATGATCCCAAACACATCAAAAAACCTACAACAGAATGGCTGAAAAAGAAAAGAATCAAGGTGTTGCAATGGCTCAAAGTCAAGACCAGAACCTGATTGAAATGCTGTGGTGGTCCCCTAAGAGAGTTGTGTGTAAACAAATGCCCACAAACCTCAATGAACTGAAGCAACATTGTAAAGAAGAATGGGCCAAGATTCCTCCATAATGATGTGAGAGACTGATAAAGTCATACAGAAAATGATCACTTCAAGTTATTGCTGCTAAAGGTGGTTCTACAAGCTATTGAAATTTAAGGTGTACTTAGTTTTTCAATCATGGCTTCTCCATTTTAGCTTCATTTTTGTAAGACAAATCATGATATGGTGTAATATGTTATCTGTTATTGTTCATTTAACTAATTTTCAGACCTTCCAGATGATTTTTATTATGTCCTTATATGTAAAACCATAGAATTCAAAGAGGGTGTACTCTCTTTTTCACCTGACTGTATACATATGGATATACAACTGTAAAGTTCTCATAAAAGTCATGTCAATGTAAATCAAGTTAACATGAATCAATGTCTGCTTTAGAACTCCCTTGCAATGCTAACCAGTCATTGTAGTACATTTTTTCTATCTGACTTTTGCTTTGTAATAAATGTGCTTTGTAACAGACTAGCAACTTATAACAAATCTGTTGATTTACAGACTAAAGATTTTTAATCAGTTGGACGATGAACTGAATTCTCACCAGCATGAACTGAAATGGCTGATGAGCAAAGCAAAGCAAATTGCTCAGAAAGATATAAGCCTTGCTCCTTCAGTGGACAGAGAGATTAACTGTTTGGAGGCTACCTGGGAGGATACTAAGAAAGTCATCCAAGAAAGTTAAGTATGTTATTGCATGCAATATTTAGAGACTTACATCTGGAGGAAGGGAAGGTCATGGAGCTAGGCTATTTTCCCCTATATTGGATTCTGGGATTGGTATTTACATCCCATCAGGATCCTCCACTAGGACATGGGAGAGACCACAATAACCACCTTCCCAACTCCAATGATATGTTTCAAGGCCAAAGCAAAGAGAGAGATAGCATTGCTGAAGATTAAGACTACTCTTCTGTGCCATAGTGTATGTACTTCAATGTACCATTGTTACACTAATTAGTTAGATGGATTCTGCTTGCCCATGGAGGACAATGTCATGAACAGCAACAAATTGTCACTGATTAAAGACTTGCTTCAATTTCAAAGTGCACGTGTGCCCTACGCATTCTGTGTGAGCTGTGCATATCCTGAAATCCAAAAAGAAAGTTTTTAATCTGCAGCAGCCTGCACTGAAAATGATATTCCCATTGCTCATGTGGAGCACCATAACAGGATTTTGGGAACAATTATTGTACCTATCTGCTGCTACATGAAGTCTCAGTTTGGCATTACAATGAATGTTCCTCTGTCTGACAAATGTGAGGAGGTCATATGAGAATATGTTGTTCTTATGTGTGATCAAGTTGCCTCTGACTTCTTGATGACCTTATGCATTAGGGGCCTTTGCTCATGAGAGATTGTCTCAATAATGCTCATGAGAGATTGTCTCGATAATGCTCATGAGAGATTGTCTCGATAATCAGGAATGAAGCACCAGAACATCCACAGGTGTAATTGTCCTTACATTTTTCTTCGTTTTACAGGCAGGAGCAGTGTTGTGTCCTTGTGGATCTGATGAGAGAATATCAGAACTTGAAATTTACAGTAACCAAAGCCATACAGATTGCTAGCAATGTGACAGTGACAAAAGGCATGCTGAAAGAATTGGAAGATGTGAGATGGGCTTTATCAAAGGTAATTTAAAATATATTCCTTTTTAAATAAAATTAGTAGTCTTCACTTGCTTACTTTTTTTCTGTCTTTACCATGATTGTTATCAGCCCTTAAGTCACCACTTTTGAGGGGAGATGTCTTCTCTTCTCTTCCCTTCTCAGGAGTGTGTTACTGGGCAAAATCCTGTGTGAACATTGATACTGGCAGAAACCAGTGGTGTCATCATCCAGAAACAATAAAATTTAATTTAAATAAATTGAAAGTGCCCTGTCATCCTAATTCAGGTTCCAAGGCTTCCCAGAGTTCCCTTTTTGGGGGGAGTCTTTAATAGTAAAAAACCACAGCCATATTTCTGCCACCAGGATTGGAACTGTCAGCAATCTGGAAGTGATTTTTGGCTATTAAAGCTGTTTCCAATTATGAGTCTCCCGAAACCTTGTCCAGGGCAAAAGAGAACCCTAGAGAGCCCAAGAACCTGAAAACAGAGGGATAAGAAGCTTTCAATTTATTTAAATTAAATTTTACCAGCACTGGATGATGATGTCATTGGCTTCTACTAGCATAAATTTACACCAATAGGATTTTGGCCATTGCTTCATAATTTAAATTTAGTTCGATAAAGACCGAAGGCTTTAAAGTACTAAAATCAAAGTGGAGGTACTATTTGCAAAGTTACAGTTAGGTGCAATACTTCATCATAATGACATTGTTGGCCTTCTGTTGACCACCAAAACTCAAACATGCTTATTTATTTTTTGGCCTCTCTCTTCTTTCTGTTAGGCAAAACTCTTTTCCTGAATGCTAAGCAGGACTGGTGCCAACATGCACAATGCTTGATAAGAGCCCAAAGCAGATTACTGTGCTGGAAGACTGGGCCTTTTTTAAAAAAATGTTTTTCTGGTGCTTCAAGCACATGATGGCCAGGTGGTGGCCATCTGCACTTTTTTCAGTGCTTCAGGATATGCCACTATTTTAATCATTGTGGGATGTGAAAAACAGTAGGTGACTGGCCCCTGAATGCATCACTGTTTTTGCCTTCTTGTCTGTATCTTCAGCTCATATAGACTGCAGCACTCCTTCTTTCTGCTGTGCCATTGGGAAGGATGAGGCATTCTTTGATGAAAATGGCTTTCCAGAAATGGAGCATTCTCCAAATGGCGTACTGTTGACCAGCTGCTCATTCCAGAGTGGGCATTGGTTTCAAACCTGTGATACACCAAACCAAGCACAGTCCTCAGACATATATTGTACACACAGAGCTTACATACAGAGCTGTGGATAACTTTTGTTGTTTTGCAGTGTGAATCAAGCAGAGGAATGGGTTTACAGGTTTTCCATTTTCTTCCCACACTGAAATTTATAAGTATTTTTATATAATTTTCTCATTATATACATTTCGGCTAATTTGCACATTTTCTGCACGCATTTTGCTTACCCTGCACAGTTTTCTCCCTTGATTATGTATGTTTGTGTTTATGTTTTTCAAGTATGTGGATTCTAGCTGTGCACATTTTAAACTGTGTGTGCACCATTTTGTGCATACTTTATTTCTCTGAAACATCTGGTAAAACTGTTAAGTGAATGGTTGATGTGACATGTAGGAACCAACAAAATTCTTTTTAATCACTAGTGATTATGAATGTACAACTACTTTTTGATGGAAATTATATTAGTAATGAGCCAGACAAAGTTAACTGTCTGTCCCATTCAAATCAATAGTGTGTAAGCTAATCATGGTGAAAAACTGAAATGAGGAATGAGAAATATATGTGTTTCTGGATGGTTTTGGACTCCAACTCTCATTATCTCTCACTGGTGGGAGTTGCAATAAAAGGGGGGGGGGAGGAAAAGCCTTTTTTCCTAAATTCCAACTGGAGAATACCTGTTGAATCAATTACTGCATGATAAGTCAACGCTGATGTAAATCCCATTGATTTAACTATGGGAATTAGGCACTATACGTATTTAGGCACCTGCTCCAGTAATACTGGCATCTTAACTCGTCTCCAAGAGCACAAGTCTATGAGTTTCTTCAAAGTCCCAAGGTGCTCAGTAAGGCTTAGTCTTTAGTGTTCAAATTAAAGATAATCAGGCAGAGTAGTTAATATTGGGCCTAATCAGCTGTGTGTATCAACATCTGTTTCTATTCACAGCATGAAGCAGCCAGGAATGAACTGAATGACCGACAAACAGAGCTGGATGCTCTCGGTAATAAAGGGAAACACCTGATAGCAGAGCTGAAAAAGATTCCAAACTGTGACCATCTCCTGATAAAAAATGACATGGACAGTACTGTGGACAGATGGCTGGATGTAAGCATTATGTTGGATAAAGTGATTCCCGTTTCTAGAATGATTAAACGTTGCAGTACATCATTTCCTCCTTCCTGTGACTAAGCTAGAGTGGTGACAGCATACAGTAGTCCTGAAGCTGGGAGGCTACTTGATCAGAGGGATTAAAGGGGCCTATGGGAAAAGAAACAAGTAGATGCCATTAATGTGCTTGTAATTTGTGAAGAAGTCATGCAAAATGAAAGCATAGCAGCATACCATCCAGTTTCAATGAATAGATGGGTCACAGAGAAACATCAACTCTGTTTCTGTCCAAATGAAAAAAGTCAGAGAGAGAATAACACAGCAACCCAAGACTTTTATTTATTTATTTATTTATTTCATTTATACCCCGCCTATCTGGTCATTGTGACCACTCTAGGCCGCTTACAACAAATATAAAATTTATGTATGAATCCAAAGGATGTTCTGCATGCTTACTCAAGCCACTGTAAGCAATTTCATTTATGTTTTTCAGATAACCAGTGGAAGGGAAATTAATTCTCAAGATTTGGGCATAGCAAGTGAGCCCAGGGACTTGTCAGAAGTACAAACAGACTGTAGATCTAGTGAATTCAAAACTAGCAAAAGCAAAGTGTGCTGCTTATTTAGTGCTCTATAGTGCTTAAAGTACTCTCTGGGTGTTATAATTTAATTATACAGGCTACACATTGCCCCCTTCTCCAGCAAGCTTGGTACTCATTTTACTGACCTTGGAAGAATGGAAGGCTGAGTGAACCTCAAGCCAGCTACCTGCGATTGAACCCCAGGTTGTTAGCTGCAGTACAGCAATTTAACCACTGCACCACGAGGCAATGAACCCCAAACTATCCCAATATTCCCTAGAATTCCCAGAATCAGTTCCCATTCCCAGTGGGAGCACTGCCAGCTGTACTCCTGCCATTACACAACTTTCTACAGGCATATTAGAAGCCTCTGAATCAGAAGTTATTTGTAGCTATATTCTTTTCTCAGCTACATCCCCCATTTTTATAAGAACCTTGAAGCACTGAAAAAATTATCTACCAGCCATTTGGCAAATGAGTTTAAGCATTTCATTTTGAGAGTCTGGTCATTTTTTGTAATGTTCCCATTGTTGTTCTCCAGCATGCATGCATGTGCATGCATACATACACACACACACACACACAAACAGAGAGAGAGAGAGAGAGACCTTCATGGGGCCATCAGCTCTAGTATGTGGGATCAGAAATGGTCCTTTGAGAACAATGTAATTAGGCGATAGGAATATGTTAAATAGCTTGGCCCTTATTATACTATGGAATTAATACTTTTTTGCCTCTGTAAAGTTTTTAGTAAAATTTTTCATGACAGCAGCCACAAAATTAAAAGATGCCTGCTTCTTGGGAGGAAAGCAATGACAATCCTAGACAGCATCTTAAAAAGCAGAGACATCACCTTGTCGACAAATGTCCGCATAGTCCAAGCTATGGTTTTTCCAGTAACGATGTATGGAAGTGAGAGGTGGACCATAAAGAAGGCTCACCACCAAAGAATTAATGTTTTTGAATTGTGGTGCTGGAGGAGACTCTTGAGAGTCCCCTGGACAGCAAAGAGAACAAACCTATCCATTTTGAAGGAAATCAACCCTTTGTGCTCCCTGGAAAGACAGCTCCTGAAGCCGAGGCTCCAATACTTTGGACATCTCATGAGAAGAGAAGACTCCTTGGAAAAGGATGTTGGGAAAGTGTGAGGGCAAGAGGAGAAGGGGACGACAGAGGACGAGATGGTTGGACAGTGTCATGGAAGCAACCAATATGAATTTGACCCAACTCCGGGAGGCAGTGGAAGACAGGAGGGCCTGGCGTACTCTGGTCCATGGGGTCACAAAGAGTCAGACACAAAGAGTTTGACATTTGAGCTATATCCATGACAGCATCTTTAATCTCTCTCTCTAGACTTTTGTCCTCCATTTTGTGCCCCAGAATCTGCAACATGTATATGAGCAGAGAGAATTAGATCCCGTGTTGTTCTCTCAGTGGCAGTCTGAAGAGTAGATCATCCTGTATACATTAAGCTTCTCCATGCTCCTCGGAACCTTGATTTTTCTAGACATTTGAGCTATATCCATGACAGCATCTTTAATCTCTCTCTCTAGACTTTTGTCCTCCATTTTGTCCCCCAGAATCTGCAACATGTATATGAGCAGAGAGAATTAGATCCCGTGTTGTTCTCTCAGTGGCAGTCTGAAGAGTAGATCATCCTGTATACATTAAGCTTCTCCATGCTCCTCGGAACCTTGATTTTTCAGGGTCTCCCATTGCCTGTATAATTTCCATGTGTATGAGACTGTCTGCTCATCAGGTTGTTGCTCTTAAGAGACCCTGAGAACAACAGTAGAGGAGAGAGCAGCTGACCCTTATTCTCTCCTTCATCCTCACATGTTCAGGTTAGGCCTTTTCTTAATGCATGAACTGATATGTTCAAACGTTCTATTGAGAGCACTTGTGTGTGCTTCTTAGTCACATAGTAGACAGATGGCATTATTAAGATGATATTCTTGGCCTGTCTAAGCAATCAACATGAGCAATGCTCCAGTGACAGCTGGGCTTGGGAGCAGATTTAATAAATGAATTAATAACCTAATTGACTAAAACCCATGTGATTAATCAGCTAAGAGATCTTGAGTCAAGTCACATCCTGAACCATTTTCTTTCATTGCATTAATAGGTTTCAGAGAAGATTGAAGACAGCATAGAGAAGCTGAGCACTAGTGTGTCACTGTGGGAAGATGTGCTGGCAGTTGGTGATGATACTGATGGATGGTGCAATAACTCTGTCTCACAGATGCAGGATATTCTAAGCAATGTGGCCAGCTGCCAAGGAATTGAAGCCTTCCTGGAAGAATTTCAGGTGCCATAAAATATTTGCCATGCAACAAATACAATAAATATAGGATGCTTCCAAGTAGTAGTACTTTCTCTATAGAGGTTAAAAAAACAGGAAGGCTGAGAGTGACTGCCATGTTTAATAGTCTGGGAGTGGGCAACTTCATCAGGCCTGCCTGCAGGCAAAATTGTTCCACCCAGCATCTGCCAAGGTGGCCAAATTAGCTGAAAAATGCCAAATAAATGAATAATTAGGTAGCACCCAGATGGCTGTTTCATGTTGAATTCCTGGATTGTTGTGGGATTGTTGTTCCTCCCTTAAAAAACAACAAGAAACACACACACAGACACACACACACACATGCACGCACGCGCACGCATACACGCCAAACATATTTTAACACCTTCCCCCAATTTTGGGGGGCCATAAGAGCATAACAGGGGCAGAGGCATGTGAAAATTGCCTGGGAGGCTGCATATTTTAACACCTTCCCCCAATTTTGGCAGGCCATAAGAGCATAACAGGGGCAGGGGCATGTGAAAATTGCCTGGGAGGCTGCATGTATACCAAGGTTTTCAGGAAGGTGCAGTCCATTCCTTAACACACTGTACACAAAGACTTATTACATCTCTCTGCATAGCAACTCTCTGCCATGGCCAACAAAGTCTGGAAGCCATGATATATTTTGCTGTGTCCAAAATATAGTTCCTTACTTTTCCCCCATATGAATTAATGTCGTCAGTGCAATTATTTAGGAGAGATAAATGAGAGCAGTTCAGGGATAGGAACAAGGTGAAACCTGTACTAAAATAATATTTCCACTTTTTTAATATAGTCTCAAATTAAGGGAAAAGAACACAGTTTAGAGCAAATCAGTTCAAAAATATCTGAACTTCAAGAACTGGTGAATGCAGAAGAACTTCCCACAAATCTTCAGGTAATGTTTTAATCTATGGAGTATACTTCATTCATTTTGCTAGCTAAATTGTTGCATGAAGCCAGAGAGAATCTTATGCTATTCCAGTCTTAGGATTTCGTATATTTTGAATTACTAATTTAAATCTGTTAAATATTCCAGTTACAATCCAAGACAAAGGGAGCCCATATTTAACAAAACGAAGAGAATCATAGCTACTCATTCTTATTCTTGTGTGGACAAGAATCTCTTTTGACCCATTTTATCTTTCAGCCCCCAAGATAAAATGGCCCATGATTGAAATTTGTGCTGTTAAGATCTAATTTGTATAATAATCAAAAACATACACCAAAAAATCCTTTTCCTAATGAACTTAGATGATCATTAGGGAATTCAGAAGCAACGGAGGAGCTTAAAAGAAGAATTTTTTTTACAGATTCAAGGAACTATTAAGTATTCAAAAATCTAGAAGTTTATAAATTAAAAGAAAACTTTAGAAACAAAGTAGCCTGACAAGGATACTGTATTTGAATGTCTAGATTTACGTCATACTGAGGGCACAGAGATGAGAAAACATCAGAACATCTTTTCAGTGTCTGGAAAGTGAATGTTCAGTTTCAATAAATGCAAAATAATAGAACTTCTGGTTTGCTGCTAAATTTGTTGTGAAGGAGAACTGTCAAGTTAGAGAGTATGATGCCTGAACATCTAGACACATGTGGAAATTATTCTCAGTGCTCACCCCAGTACTTGAATAAGTATAGTGATAATTGTTGTGAGCTGCCTTTGGGTCATCTATGGGAAGAAATATGGCATGCATACAGACAAACAAATAAGAAGCTGTGGCTAATGGGAGTTATGGAAGAAGATGCCAGGGTGCATCTTGATCAACATGTGCCTGGCATCTCATAAATTGACTGCAACACATTATGCAAACCCAACACAAACACCAAGATAATTCTGGCCTTCAAAGTAGTAACCTTGACATCATTACCAGTAATACTATTGTAATGGCAAGATTGATCGATCTTAATGTATCTGCATTTGTTTTTAGTTTTTAGAAAATGATTTAAGGAAAAAAGTGACACATGCCAAAGAAATGTGTGAGATAACAAAAGAAACACTGAAAGATTTCAATTCTCAGAAGTTGCAGTTACATAACTTCATTACAGAGATGGAAGACTGGCTTACTAAAACAGAAGAATCACTTCTAAGCTGTGTTCATAGCCAGGATCCATCAAGTCTAAATACAGTCAAGGTAGATATTTTAAATATATATAATATTTTGACACATGTTGATTTCAGCCTGTTCTGATGGTCCATCATACTCTGATGGAAATGTGTTTTGAACTTCACAAAGGTATGTGTCACCACCTTTAAGTGCCAGCTTTGTTGCTGTTAGACTACTGAAGTGAGCCTTTCCTCATCATGAGTTCACCCATAAATGCCTGTCTGAAGAGGAAGCCTCTTTAAAGAGCTACATATTTGGGAAAGAATTAATAGGTGGCTTGCTGCATTTGGATATGGATGTGAGAGAGGAAGAAATCTGTTGGAGAAACTGTAGTTAGGCCTGACTTTTATTAGTCAGGAAGTGAGGAAGCAATGCAGCAGACAATACAGAACGGGAACATATCAGGGAAACCTAATTATATTTATCTACCATAATTAACTATATCTATGATTTTTCTGGAAATGCAAAAGTGGTTCCATATTCCAACACTTAGGGCTTTACACAGAATAAAGAAGTTTCTGCACATGTGCTGAGATTATTTTTCAGCTTAACTGGATGCTTGATGTAAATCCTGGACATCAGGCACTACTGTTCACATTTACTACAGAACTATTTTAAAAAAATCTCCCCAAAGGGCATGGCTGCACTTGGCAGAGAAAGAGGCCAAATAACCCCAAAACACATTTAACCAAATCTCAAAGTATTTCCTAATGTAAGCAGTATATCAAAGAGGTTTTGTTTAGATCCATTAATTAGCCCCTCTTCACATTCGAAAACTAAACATGATTCCATGGCCCCAGCCATGTGAAATATACATGAATCTGCACATTGAACTCAAGAAGGATACATACACATGTTCAGTGACAATGCCACAGATATGGGGATGATGGTGTATGTAGTTCAATGTAGAAGTAGAGCAATTAGTGGAAATCTAAGATTCAAACATTTTTATGACTGGTATTGCCATCTCAGTACAATGAGACAAAATGCTGATTTGTCCTATTGATAAAGTCCTCTATAAAATGCTTAAGAAATGTGGGAAACCATTATAGCAAACATGAGTGGATTTGTATTGTGTTGTATTTTAGATCAAAGCCACTTTTACTTGGTTAGATGTGGAAGGAATATATTTTAAAAGTTCCTCTTTTAAAATGTGTTGTACTTTTGATTTGTCCCTTAGAAGATACAAAAGGAGCTTCAGCAACAGCAAAGCAACTTTGATTCTTCCCAAGAAATTCTTAATAGCCTCTGTCGCAAATATCCATCTGCAGAGTTGGAGACTCTGGGGGGCACTGTCACCTCACTGATGAAGAAATACGAGGCTGTGAACCAGTTAAGCTTGAAAACACAAGTTTCCATTCAGGAGTCCCTGGAGAAACACTTTCAACGTGAGTCGTCGCAGTTGTTAACGTATGAGCCATTGAGACCACAGGAATGTATGAAATTGCTTGAAAAGATCATGCCTACCAGAGTTGGTGAAAAGTTTCCATTCACATAAGTAACTTATTTTATCAGTGTCCTTCATAAAACTCTTCTTGCTAAAATGTAGTTTGATTGATCATTCCATGCAACTGATTTTCAGAGTTCGCAAACCTTTGAAGGTGTATAAATACATTTGGAAAAGCTTCTTTGGCACCACAACGAATGATCTTCTGGTAAGATGTGTCAAATCACAAAATGTTGAGGGTGCAAATTTCTACCTTCTTTCTATGCATACATTTGCACATTCACTTTGTGTGCACTTTCTCTCTTTCTCTCTCTCATTTTCTTTGCCTCATTCTCTTTTTTTCTCCCTCTCAAGTTGCATTCCCCCTCTCTTCCTCTTTCTAGCTGCCCACAGGAAATATTTTTAAAGGAAAAACACACATGAAAAAATCAGGAGAAATTGGGTACCTTAGTGGCAACAAGGGAGATAAAATGTCTCAATATACTCACTGCTCAAAACAGAATGTCATATTCAGCATTCATTCACATGTGCTTTTAATTTTCTAATTACATTAAAGTATCATTGTCATATAACAGGCATCCATTACATTAGATATCCTTCAGTCTCGAGAGACTATGTTAATGTGCTCTGTATGGAGAACTTGGGACAGTGTTTAGTGTGGTGAGAAGGCCAATTTGAGAGTGACAATCCCTTCCACACTGAAGACAAATACAATCTGTCCCCTGTCCAGCTCCCTGATTTTGCTGCTTTTGTGACTTCCTCTTTGCCTCAGCCTGCTGGACAAGGGTCTCTTCAAATTGGGAGAGGCCATGAGGCACCGCCTGCCTCCAGGCTGAATGATCAAGTGTCAAGGTTTCCCATCTGTTGAGGTCCATTCCTAAAGCCTTCACATCCCGCTTGCAAATATCCTTGTATCGCAGCTGTGGTCTCCCTCTGGGGCGATTTCCCTGCACTAATTCTCCATTAATGAAGAAGGGAAAATTAGACCGTCAGCCATTCTCACGACATGCCCAAGCCAATGTAGACACTGCTGTTTCAGTAATGTATACATGCTAAAAATACCAGCTCGTTCTAGGACTACTCTATTTGGAACTTTGTCCTGCCAAGTGACACCAAAAACGCGTTGGAAACAACGCATATGGAACGTGTTCAGCTTCCTCTCCTGCCGTGCACAAAGGGTCCAGGACTCACTGCAGTACAGGAGTGTGCTTAGGACACAGGCTCTATAGACCTGGATCTTGGTATATGTTGTCAGCTTCTTATTGAGCCATACTCTCTTTGTGAGTCTAGAGAACATGGTACCTATGCATTTATCCAGCTCAACATCTAGGGAGAAAGTGTCAGAGATCATTGAGCCAAAGTACACAAAGTCATGAACAACCTCCAATTCTTGTATTGGAGATGGTAATAGAAGGAGGCGAGTCCACGCCCTGGCCCATGACTTGTGTTTTCTTCAGGCTGATTGTTAATCCAAAGTCTTGGCAGGCCTTGCCAAAATGATTCATGAGTTGTTGGAGGTCTTCGGCCGAGTGGGCAACAACGGCTGCATCATCGGCGAAGAGGAAGTCCCACATGCATTTCAGCTGGACTTTGGGTTTCACTCTCAATCTAGAGAGATTAAGGAGCTTTCCATATGATCTAGTCCAGAGATAGACACCTTCTGTTGCAGTTCCAAGGGTATGTTTCAGCATGACAGCAAAAAAGGATCCCAAACAGGGTCGGTGCAAGGAAACAGCCCTGTTTTTCTCTGCTTCGGATGTCAAAGGGATCTGATGTTGAGCCATCAAAAACTACAGTGCCCTTCATTCCCTCATGAAAGGACCTGATGATGTTAAGGAGTTGAGGTGGACAT